AGCATTCATTCGGTACAGTATATCATCCCCAATCACAGGGTAAGGTTGAGAGATTAAACCAAACTATTAAACAAAAATTGGCTAAAGTATGTGCACATACCAAATTAAATTGGGTAGATGCTTTGCCTATTGCTTTGATGTCTGTCCGAATGTCTATTAACCAATCAACAGGGTTCTCTCCATATGAGCTCCAGACAGGACGGATGTTTCCAGGACCTGCTACCCGTATCCCAGGATGGAAAGGTGAACTTGCACATTTATCTCATAAAGATTTCTTCAATGAGTTACAGGTCCTGGCAGCAGAATTTACAAAATACCAGACAACAGAGGAACGTCCAGGCTCGGGAGCAGTTCCAGGAATCGACTGGGTGCGCCTGAAGGTCATCAAAAGAAAGTGGTCTGAACCTCGCTTCACCGGACCATACCGAGTCGTGGAGAGGACATCTCATGCTGTCCGTCTACAAGGGAAAGGAGACACGTGGTTCCATTGGAGTCAGTGCACAGCAGCTGAGGAGCCACAACGCACGCTACAAGGCATACAGGAGAATCTGCAGTCTCAACCTGCGGTCGAGGAGTGTCTGCAGGCACATCCCAACGCGGAGGAGGATCTGCATTTCCAGGCAGAAGTGTAGCAGGGATTCCTGCTAAGATTTCTTCATTTTCCTGAATCACAAGGCTTAAAAGGCCCGGATAGGCACAATAATCCTGTTCTGGTGTCCTTCCATTGAGAAAAGGAGATTGCACCCTCTCCTTAAACTCACTGTTAAATTGGCATAATACTCCAATTTTCAGTGAGCAACGGACACTCAGGTGGAAAACCTGAGGTTTACAACCGAGGAGGAACACGTGAAGGAGCAGGCTACAAGATCATCATTAACTTATCTTCTTTTTATTGCGTGTTTTCGTTTTTTGCGAACTCTTTAAGAACATTCGTTTCTTTTTGCGCGTATTTTTGGATCGTTTCCTTACGAAGAATTCATATTCATTTTTGGAGGACTATTGAAAGAGCATAGAGACGAACTCTAAGTTATTATTATTGAATTGTGAAAAAAAAAAAAAAAAAGTTATTTTGTAATTTTCATGTGTTTATGCTATTTTGTCATTTTTATGTGTTTATGATGTATTTTTTGATGTTGTTATTGTTTTTTATTGACAAATTGTAGTTTTTGTGGTGAATATTGTCTTTTAAGTCTGCTGAGCATTTTTTAGTAATTTTGAGATATCTTATTTTTTATTTTTTATTTCATATTCTGGGCTGATATTCCTATTGAGTTCAGCTTAAAACACGTGATCTGGCAGTGGAAGCTTTTGCTATGTGTATTTTTCGGACTCATTCTGCTGGGAGTATGGGCTTTAGGAGGGTCTACCAGCGGACTAAATTCCTATCAGACATCTGATTTCCGACCGATTTTTGTTGAACGTGGAGTCTCTGGTGGAAATGTGACTGCTCGTGTGAAGCGTTCTTTGAGATCTCCTGTTGATAAGTGCCTCACTAAATATCATGGAATTGAATTGAATTATAGTGTGGGTACTTTGACTGATTTCCAAATTGACCTGTGTGAGGTAACTCGTCGCTGCTGGTCGACTCCTCGATCCTGGCAGAAGACTCCTTTGTATTTGTGTGGAGATCTCACTTTACAGCGACATTGTATTACTCAGGAGAATGGGGTTCGACATTTGTGTCCCACTTGGAATTCGGCTTTCAGATGGGTGGGATCAAGTTGGAGTCCACCGTATGCTTATAAATATGTCACTGAATATGACAAGGTAACCATAAAACGAGGGACTATAGGAAATTCTCCAGCGAAGGGTCAAAATCCTCTTGTGTTAACCATTTCCTCAATGCATAATGCTTTCTTTAAAAAATATCCGGCGGATTCAGCTGTTTATTTAACTTTGGGAGCTTCAATTGATGAGAAAGATCCACTCGGAATTATTAAAATTAATCTGATCAGGCCCCAAGAGGAAGAAGTGGGAATTGAGGTTCCTGATCAGTATGCGGCTAAAATTGACTACACTGCAGTCACACCATTGGACATCATTCAAACAGTGACTGGGTATAAGGACAGGAATTTATGGTTGAATTGGATGGTTCAAACAGCTATAGAAACTAATATTGGGAACTGCATTGCATGTGCAACAGCTAGACCTCATCTTTATACGGAACCTGCCCCATTACACTTGGGGGATAGCTGGGGTTTTGATTGCATGCTGAGATTAACACGTGAGGCGAATCCCATGAATTGTACTGTGTTTGCCACAATATATCCGCCTATTAATAACTATACTCAAACGGGAACTTTTCTTCCGGATAAGGGTACGGGATTGTATGTCTGTTTTAATTTCACTCATCTTGAGCCTGATTTCAATTTTGGACAGATTCCTAGTGATTGGTGTAGTGTTACTTTGATAGCAACCAGAATCGGGAATTGGGCCAGAGCTGGACTTTATTATTTTTGTGGAGGTGATAGATTATATGTGCGAATTCCTCCTAAGACTGTCGGAGTATGTGCTATGACTCGCCTTGCAGTCCCGCTTATGGTTGTAGGAGAAAGACTTGATCCTGTAGGTCCGGCGCAGGTGTTCAACTTACTGACACAGAGAAATAAGCGACAGGTGCGTCATACACATTTGGATACTGCATTTGATTTGACTACTAATTCTCCTACTTATATCGATGCCATCGGTGTGCCGAGAGGGGTTCCGGATCAATATAAATTGGCGGATCAAATTGCAGCAGGGTTTGAGAATTTACCTGTGGTATCAGCTTTCTTTCCTATCACCCCGAATAAAAATGTTGATAGGATTAATTATGTCCATTATAATCTTTTGAGGCTAGCAAATCTGACCAGGGATGCTGTTGGAGGTTTGAAGGACCAGTTAGCCCCGACTTCTTTAATGACAATTCAAAATCGGATGGCCCTGGACATGCTTTTGGCTGAAAAAGGAGGGGTCTGCTTTATGTTCCAAGACAGCTGCTGTACGTTTATACCTAATAATACAGCCCCTGATGGATCTGTCACTAGAGCGTTAGAAGGTTTGAGAATTTTGAGTAAATCTATGCATGAAAATTCGGGTATTAATGGTGGTTTGGACAGGTGGTTTTCTACTATGTTTGGTAAATGGAAAGGGATCGTCATGTCACTGCTAGTTTCTGTGGCTACTTTTGTAGCCATAGTGGTCACCTGTGGATGCTGTTGTGTACCGTGCATCCGGTCGCTTATCATTAGGCTTATTACAGTTTCAATTGAGAAGGGAAGCAGTGGCCCGCCTGCTCCGTCTCCCTATCAGATGCTTTTTCGCGGTGCTGCTGATGAGGGGGGTTGTGGAGCTGGTAGGTTCTGTTTAATAAACGGGGACTGTTATATAATTAGGATAATGTTTTAGTTTCTTAGTATACTAAATAGTGTTTTGGTTCCTCTATTAGAAGGCTTAATCAATTAGATTTGTGAGGTCTGTGTGTCTCAGACCTCAAAACGGGGACTGTTAAAGAAAAATGATTATTTTAGTTTTTAAAACAGTTAATCTTATGGCGTGTGTAAAAGGTATGTTGAACACTTTCATTTTGACCATATTTCTGAATTTTGAACAAGGCTGTGTTAATGATTTAAAACTACTAATGGGTAAGTATTCAAAGCACAGGAGGCCTTAAAATGAGTATCTCCTGGGGGGTGAATAACAGTTGAGCCTCAGGGGAGAGGTCTCCTTGGGTTACAGAAGATCAAAGGTCTTCCAGAATAAACATCTGAGATGCTGTAATACTGAATAAAATGTAGAATGTTAAAACATTAACATTTAGTTTTTAAGACATTTTTCTAAGTATTAATATCATGTTTTTTAATTGAAAGTTGTACTATCTGTGTGAATATCAGAATCAAATTGAAATTGTTTGAATGAAAATGTTTTGTTTACTATTAGAAAATTGCTCAGGATATAGGTTTAATGGGGTAATTGAATATGTTAGATTGAATATTATGTTTTATATGTGAGAAAAAGGAATTGTATTTTATGTTCTGTTGATTCTATGTGGTTTAAGGCAGGATTCAATCTTTTGGGGTGGAATGGTGCAAAAGAGCAAGATTGAGCTGTGAAGATAACCTTTCCCTGAACCAAAATACTGAATTTAAGTTTGTTCTTGAAATTTATGGCAGGAAAGGGGCCCTCAACATTCCACATCGATTCTGTTAAACTTTATCTCATGACAGCCAGATGACCTTAGAATCTAGTGGGGGGCCCGGCCGTAAATTAGTTTTTCTGAGTGTCCAAAGTAGCTTCCAATTGGTCAAGCTGGACGACCTTATACTAAAGGGAAGGACTTATCTACATTATAAAATTTTGGGCACAGGGGCAAAAATTCAGATAGCTGCCACTTTTTTGCTTTTGCACCAGCTCTCTCCAAAGACGCGTCTTTGCCTCTCTTTTTCTATTTTTCTTTACCTCAGGTAACTGAATGTATGTTTCTGTTGTTCTGCAGTTTTGTTGTTAACTCATAAGCTGTTTTTTGTTGGATTAAATTCTGTGACGTTCGCATATCTTGCTGGTTTTCCTTGGGGGCCACACGCAGCTCGCTGAGCGCACCTGGGAGAGGAAGAGAAACACCCAACCTTTTTCCAAAGTTAACTATTTAGAATATTTTCTTCCTTAACAGTATATACATATTCTCAATATACTGGAAGATCTGAAAGGATATAACTTCAGAGGAGGAGAAGAGGCAGAACTGACAGCTTTTGGGTTCCGAACATCTCCACCGCAGCTCTTTTGGAAATCAAAATAGAAGAACTGAGTGTGCACAATGAAGCAGCTTAAAAAACAGCTTGAAAAATGCTGCCCGAGTTATCACCTCTGAACACACATAGTTTGCAGATAAAGAACGGACAATGTCCAAATCAGCGATTCAGTGTATTTTATCATGATCTCATTTTGTTTTTAACCAAAGAATGTATGATTGTTAAAAGTACGGTCAATACAATGCTGGATACAAGTCGTGTGATTTTACTTACATTGCAGATCTGCAGAAATGCCAAGAAACAAAACCAAGAAAATAAAGTAAAGCTGCTTTACAGGGAACTTCATGATGGGGGTGTGGCAGTGAAATGTGACGCTGCTAAAGACAACAGTTGCCTCCCACCTTCTACAGCCTTTTTAACTGACACACATGTACCCACATTCAGTTCTCTGCAGCTACAGTATTATCCTGAAACCTTTATAGGCGTTCTCTCTCCTGCACACCTGAATCAAATGAAGTTCTCGTTGCCAAGCATCTACAGAGACCAGAAAATAACAACCTTTATTAAAGATACATTTCAATAGGTCCACATTTCTGGAATAAAAACATGTAACATTTAAATGTATAACCAGTTTTATTATTGTAAAATTATTGTAATTGACACAAATAGAGCTTGAATTAGTGAGATACTGAAATAGTCTTAACCTTTTTAATGATGGGCTTGGATACTCCTGCTCTAACAGTTGCAGAGCAACAGGATATGAAATGAAGCATTTAATATCCTGTTACATATATCAGACAATAAAGTACAAAATTTTGGTGAGATTTCTGGTCATGACTTCTCATTTAAATAAAAAAAAAGAGGTTTCTAGAGTTTCCTTCTTCAAAACTAGAAATATCTTGTCCAGGGTTGATTCTGAGAAACTAGGCTAATGAATGCATTTGTTATGTTAAGGACTATTGATATGCGATATGAATTCTTTAATACCATAAATTCCACTAGCTGCAGTAAACGCCTCCAGCTGATCCAAAATGCTGCAGCCAGAGTTTTGAGGAAATTTAAAAAGTGAGAACATATCTCTCCTATCCTAGCTTCTCTTCGTTAGCTTCCTGTGAAATCTAGAATAAAATGTGAAAGCCTCCTTCTCACACATAAAGCCCTAAATAACCAAGCTCCATCTTATATCAGGGATCTGATCATTTCTTATATTCCTAAGAGAACTTCGCTCTCAATCTGCTGGTTTACTAATGGTTCCAAGGATGTCTAAAATAGAAAGGGAGGCAGATCTTTTAGCTATCAGGCTCCTCTCCTGTGGAACCCACTACCACTTCTAATCCATTAAGCAGACCACCTGCCTACTTTTAAAGCTAAGCTTGAAACTTTCCTTTTTTCAAAAAGCTTATAGTTAAAAACTGGGATGTTTGAATAGTCGCTGGGCAAGTAGAGATATAGGAGAAGGTAGCAGTGGCAGTTCCAGAAAATGTTTATAGGGATGGCCAATGAGGGGTCCCCGAAAACTGATAAGCACCAAAAACATCTTGCGGTTAATTTATACTGATCAAAACAAACCAACAGGAAAATGAATGCGCACAACATCTTAATATCCAAATTTACAAAGAGAGACTAGACTTTCAATAGGGTCCATGTGTAACCCACAGCACATAAGGCCCTACTTCCGGGTTCAATCTGAGTAGTGCGCCCTGTCCCTTTAAAAAGGGGGCGGATCCCTGACCCAAACAGATAGATTAAGAATAGGTCATACCTACTTAAATGACATGCTTTATTTAATAGGGAGGAAAAAATAGTGATAAATGTGAGAAATGTGGTGAAAAAGAAAATGTAGAACACATACTGATGAACTGTAAGTTATATGAACACGAAAGGGAAAAATTAAAGAGAATAGTTAGAAGTATAGGGCATGAATGGAATCTTAAAGGAATATTAGGAAATGAAGGAAACATAACAGATATTCATAAACTAAGGAAAGCATTGTTTATGTATCTTAAGAATTCAAAATTAAAAAATAGAATCTAATAGATGTGAAGTAACGCTGCTACACACTCATGTACAGTAGGTGGCGGTATGCACCTTAAAGTTGCTTGTGATCCGCCATAATAGAAGAGAAGAAGAAGAAGACCCAAACAGATTGCTCCACAGATGCTACAGCCAACGCTGCTCCCAGCTGCTCCTCGCTGTGGCTTCTCTGTTTTTGAAAAAAACCCGCCTTGACACTCCACCGCTGCTTAATTTACTCTGATGCCTTCACATTAGATCACTTTAGCTTCTTACAACTCGGTAAGTTTGTTTTCATCTATTGGCTCATGCTTGATTGTTCATTCAAACTTACTGATAACTTAAATAATACCGCAGATTTACAACTCATAACCTGGTGGACATTCCCTATATCCTCTCCCAAATCATCTACTCATCGGTGAGTTAAAGTATATTATTTTTATGCCTTATTTTGAGTTTGTGATGCTGCAGTACACCGGTTGCATGCTACGCTAACAGGGGTAGTTAATATAGCCCCCAGACACGCCCACAGCTTCACTCAGACTTTATTTTTTTTGATTAATTCAGAGGGAAACTTTTCCCCAACCAAGAAGCAGTAAGATTTTTTCCCAAGCAGTAAATGTATTGGTCATACATTATTTTATGCTTTGGGTTAATTATAGAACTTTGTTTGGAACTTTTCCAGCCTTAGAAACCATGGCTCTTTTTTGTTTAAATATATTTGATTGTTTATTGATACGTGTTGCGCAATACAATTAAAATGGAACTGTTGAAATAATTTGGGTTTTTGTTGACCCATGATTTCATCTTTGAATAAGTGCACTTTAATTTAACTTGAGATATTTAGAAACATTGAAGCTTCATAAAGAAATCTTGTTTATTATTTAAATTATTTGATGTGTCTTAGTGCTGTGATTTATGGCATAACTAACTGACTTATTGTTTTTATTTATTGCTAAGATTAAATGTATTGTTTATTATTTTACTAATTTATGATTCTGGCCTGATTTCAGGTCAGGTTTTTTTGTTGTGTGCTGTTCCTTTGACTGTCCATTGGGTGGCAAGCTACCAGAGAACCACCGATACAGTGTGTTAGGTTCTCACAAACCTGGTTCCTCTGATTTTGTTTTCCCAACGGACCTCATGAACTGTGAACCTTTTACTTATTGAACTGAAGAGTTTAATTTCTTTTTTTGCTCTTTTGAATTATCCTGTTGGAATATATTTGGTTTTTTTTGTTTTGTTTTTTTCCTTTGAAATTATATTGATTATCACATTTGTGTGTATATTCTATTAATTCATATCCATATACATTATATAATATAGCTCATTAACATGTATATGTAACCCATACTCTTTCTATTAGAAAATAAATATACAACTATTAATCATAATTTTCTTTCTTGTGCTTATTCACACCCCTTGACTCTACAGCCAAATCTACTTCTGAGCTCATTTTGCAGTCAGCCAAGCCCAAGTGTTACACATGCAGATAAAGTCATGAACATATTTATATATCATTGCCATTAAATGAATTGGCTAAGCAATGTTCTTTAATCACACAGAAGACTCTAACGTGATTGAACAAAATCTCCACTGCAAAATCTAAATACAAATTCATAAAAGAGCAAACATCTGTATTAGTCCTTTTTTAGTTTTTTAGTTGTATATTGCTGTGAACTATTCTATGCTACATTTTTTGGCTACCATACCAGTGTTAAAATGTCACAGTTGGAAATTTATAGAACCATACAGAGTATTCTGACCAGCTGTCTCACTGTCTGGTGTGGAAGTTGCAGCGCCTCAGACTGGAACATGAGAAGAGTGGTGTGAACAGCAGAGAGGATCATCAAGGCTCCTCTTCCCTCCATTAAGGATGTTTCATCCCAGAGCTGCGTGTCCCAAGCCCGACACATCATCATTGATCCTTCACACCCCCACCATGGACTGTTCTCCCTGCTGCCCTCTGGAAAGAGGCTTTGCAGCATCCGCTGCAGGTCCAGTAGTTTCTGCACCAGCTTTTTCCCCACTGCCATCATACTGTTGAACTGTTAAACTCTAACCTGGACTCCGCGTCATACTCGCAACATTATTTTGCATCACCAATGAGGCTGAAACTTGTATAAGACACAACTCAATGGTATACTGCATTTTGCACCATATTTATTTTGCACTGCACAGGGCCTTTCTATATCAATGACCTTATGCACAATTATGTTTTTTAAACTGGTTTTCTGTTTCTCCTGTGCTGTTTACATGACGATCACTGCTGCACTTTAAATAGTAATGTTCATTGCACTGTTGTAAGCTGCTCATTTCAATATTGGAAGCTGTAAGCAACATAATTTTGTTTGTATACACTCACTGTATACTAAATGACAAAGTCTAAGTCTAAATTTCAAGATGGTATCACTGCTGCCACCTTCAGGCTTAGAGGAAAACTGCTTGTTTCAGGGGTATCGAATTACATCCGAAAGGGAACAACAAATCACATGGTGGGTGTGGTCAATTATTGGCTAGGGGCGGCCATGGCCCCCTGACCACCCATCTAGATCCGACCCTGCAAAGTAGAGTGAACAGCCCAATTAGATGAGGGAGGATTCAGTCCGAACAGACGTTTTCCCTTGGCTCTACCTTACTTATACCTATTCAAAATAGTTATCCTCAGCTATTTTCTACATTTATGCTGCTATAAATTTAGGCTGCTGGAAGGGTAACCTGGAATAAGCCAGGATAAAACCAAGTACTATTCAAATTGGACAACAATTATCGATCTGGAAAGATGTACTTTAGGGAGCCTGTGAATTAAAAAATCTCACGACAATTCGTCTTGCTTGCAAGGTAAGACATTGAGACCATTTTTCATCATTCTGCTTCTTTTTATCTCTATTCCCCCACTCTGCAGTATTTGTTAGTTCCACCCATAACTCTATGTTGTCTGTTTCTTCCCGTCTGTTTCCGTCAGGATTCCAAGCCCTAACCACTGGGCCGCCACAGTACAGTCCTATTCCTTTTTTTGTGAATATCAGTATGTGCTCCCTTTCATCCTCTAACATGGGAATTGGCCTAGAGGTTGTCTGCTTGGCTGGGTATTTCCTGGATGAGACCACCTGAAGAACTAGTTAACCTTCAGTATCTTTGCTTCTATGTCCTTAAACCCTAGTCCGTCTAGGCAGAAGGCCACTCATACCGCGTCTGGTTCTGTTGGAGGTTTTTTCCTGTTAAAAATGTGTTTTCCTCTCAACTTTCGCTGCATGCAGTCTCGGTGTGAGGGATTACAGCAGAGTCAACAATAAAATGCAAGCAAATATCTTTGCCTCAGTCTTATCCAGGAAAAGCATGTGTTGCAAGTCAAAGGCTTGATGCAATCAGCTGATTTTCCTTGATAGAAATTTTTAACCAATCCGACTTTAAACCATACTGCTTCTCCTAGAACCCAAGGTTTAACAATCAGCCAGACTCTCCTTTCTAGCATCCTGGTATAGACCTTTTCAGACAAGCTGAGAAGTTTGATCCCACTAACTTGGAACACACCCTCCGGTCCCCAGTCTGCCAATCCAGGGGCACTGCCCCAAACCTCCACTCGATGATGAAGCTACGACAGACCAAACACAACGAGAGGTTAAGGTACTGAGGGTGGATCTCATCCATTCCCAAAGCCTTGGCCACGTGGAGTTTTTTGAAAACCCCAGTGACTTCAGTCTGGGTAATGAATTAATCCAGCCCAAAGCACTCTGTCTCTTCTTCCACCACAGAAGGCGTTTCAGCTGGATTGAGGAGATCCTGAATGTACTTGTTCCTGAAAACTACAACATAAAATGAAAAATATTTAAATAAAAAAATGTTTCAGTCAAAAATGTTAAAAGTGTAGACAAATATGTGACTTTGCCATTGATACAGTACATACCACAGCAGATTGTCTTTTGTGTTTAATCCATCACCCTTAGAGAGCACTGTGCATGCTTTTGCAGCGTGCAGCCTTCTGGGCCTGAAGACTTCTGGGACACCAAATTGGCAATAGGCATTTCTAAAGTGGGATCTTTTAGGAGGAAATGCATTAAAAAAAACTTACCAAGTACATAAAAAAAGAGTTGTAAGAATAATAAAGGAGACTAAATAATTGGTTTATGGAAATATTGAACAAGCAGGATAAAAATGAGCATTCCCATTGATACTGTTTGGATCATAAAAAGTCAATATACATAAATTCTGGAGCACTTCATTTCAACAAAACTATTTGTATGGGCACTTTGATGATTGAAGATGATTTTGATGATTTAAATTTTTTGTTTTATTTTGTACATTTAATATTTAACTGATATTCAAAATGAAATTAATGAAAGGTGGTAAGAAAAGTTTACCTAGGATCTGTTTAACTTAACGTTGCCTATATGGCATCAAAATTAATTCTTTATTATTTCATACATAACATTTCTACTGTTCATACTTGGAAAAATAATGGCTTTTATTGCAGACCTTTATCGTTTTTCCAAATAATTGTACAAATAATTTGAAATCAAGGAAGGACGGGAAGTTTTTTTTTAACCAAAGAGACTTGGTGTTCAACATAAGAGCACTTTTTAGATTCATATAGAAATGTAATATTATAATTGCTAATCTATCTTCACTTTATTTCATTAAACTTGAATACATATTTCAATTTCCAATAATTAGCTAATTAATTCACAGACAGTGTATGACTTTAAATCCATGCCACAAACCGATTCACGGTTTTAGACAGACTGGGAAGCCTGTATCAGATTAGATTTTTTTAAATTAACATTTAAACGTCTCTGCCCCAAAGCTATACTACAGCTCGCTGTGCTCTGTGTTCTCCTCGAGCTTCTTGATCTTCTCTGGCAGAGTTTGGGTCACAAAGTCGAAACGATTCTTCTTGAGGAACTGAGCAGACACCTGCTTCTTCAGGTCAAGAGACAAATATTTTTCCTCTGCTCCATACTTGGGCCAGTTGACAACACCCTCTCCATTAGGAGACCTAGAGAAAACATTGTTTTAAACTTTGTATTATGTGAGTATTCTGTACACTGAATAATCAGAGACTCTTACCCTGTGCGAGCAAAGTTACCCCAATAGCTCATCATAATTTTGCTAAACTCTTCCTCCTCTTTGGGACATGGATCTAAATAAATAAGTTAACAGCAAAGATAGTAGGTAAAAATACATAAACACACTGGATATCTAGGGTAAGTAATATTTACATACCAGCTAATTTTACATGGGTAGTTGTGAAGCAGTATCCCAGCACAGTGAAGATGTCATCTGCATGGTCACATTTGACAAAGCTGGGTCTTTTTTTCTGAAGGAACGTGGGAGCGTGATGATACTCATACAAGTACACAGCAGCCCCTGCATCTAATGGTACAAAAAATAATAATATTTTCTTGGGAGAAATAAATAGGCAACACTGGACTTATTTGGATAATCATGCATGGAAAAATTACCTCTGTGAGCATTTACCACTTTAAGAGCTGGAAAAGTAAAAAAGAAGTCCCCAAGAATCTCAGTGAATCCATCTCTGTTTCTGATGCGGTCTTCACCAGATCCAACATATTCATTAACAATCAGCTCCCTGATGGGTGCAGCTTCAGGCTGATCAAAAAAATAAATAGATACAATACTCAATGTACATAAAATGTGGTGCCAAGTTACCTCAAGTACAGTTTTACATGGTTTCTTTTTTCTTATTAACATTTTTTTTAATGAGTCAGTGGTTTTTACAAGAACAATTCCTTGGAAATGAGTCTGTATGTCTTCTGAGGGTTTGTCTCAAACAGCCTTGAACATCTAGAGGCTTAATTTCTATCCATTCTTATTTTCAAAAATAAAATCTATCTGTATCTGAACTGCGACTAAGCCATTCTAAACAATAAGTAAAAAAGATAAACTTTAACAGTCCAGTATTTTATACTTCGGTCAGTACTAGATGACAGGAAACGTCAAGCATGCAGGGGCACCAGAAGAGCTAGCCTGGCCAGCCAGTACTTGCTCTGCATACACAACATATCAACTTGAAATGAAGTGAGAAGAATGTAATTTTAAAGGCCAGACTAACTTAAGTTTAGAATCAATTAGATTAATTATGATATTATGAAAAAAACATCTCTTCTAAACAGGCTTCGACTGGAAGGCAACTAGACTTACGTAAAATGTTTTTGAAGATGTTCCGACACAGACATGCTCACACCCCTGCAATCTGTAGTTGAAAGTTCATCCTCCTAAGCACGTTTCAACCCAGATGCAAATCAAATAGCCACCCCTTGTTCCTCTGAATTGTTGAAGTCGTTTGTTGAGTATGGTCTATGTAATTGACCTTTTGAATCATGATGAGAGAGAATAAAAATTTCTTTGGAATGAGTTCTACGACTGAATTGTAATTGCTTGAAAGCTGAAACCTCCAATGGTTTGGATTTTCACCCAAACCAAAGCTGAGTGGTGTCGTTTCTGTGATCCAGTGCAATGAGAACTGTACAGCCTCCTATACTGGAGAAACCAAACGATAACAACAGAAACCCAATAGGCAGCATAGGAGAGCCAGTAACTATGTGCAAGAATCAGCCGTACACTTGGACCTAAGGAACAAAAAACACATTTGAATACCAAAATGTTCCGAATTTGGACAGAGAGGACAGCTGGTTTGAAAGAGGTGTGAAAGATGCCATCTTTGTTAAAACGGAAAAGTCATTACTAGACAGAGGATGAGGATTTGGGTTTCAGCTTCCAAGTATTTACAAGTCAGTCATAGAACTCTCTCATCATGATTCAAATGGTCAATGGCCCATAACCAACAATTCAGAAGAACAAGGGGTGGCTATTTGATTGGCATCTGACTTGGAATGTGTTTAAGAGGATGGACCTCAAACTACAGATTGCTCAAAGACACTTGGATAGGTGGTGAAATGTCTTCAAAAAAATGGAAGGACAGTCCGGTTGCCCTCTAGTTAAAGCCTGTTTTGTTGTTGCCATCATACAGCGGCCAGTTTTTGAAGCCTTACTGATATAACCAGCTGTCATACCAAAGAGCATCATTAAAACATCCCACCGGGGCAACTGCAAGATTCATGGTTATGGTTACAGAAAGCGCTCTTGCATTATGGGCCCTCCTCCTGCTGTGTGATTTGCCTAGTCTGTTTAGACTGCAGACTATTGAGCCTTTCCAGACTGATTGGTACTCTAAGTTAAACTGACTGGTCATGCTACGGAGATGCAACTCTCCCAGAAGAAAATTTGAAGAGTATGAATATGTTCACAAGTTGCTTAGCAGACAACAGATCTCTTACAAGCGGGAAGAACATGAACAGCATGTTTCCAATCGACTCTCGATCTATTCCTTCTGTCCAGTTGGGAGGAGCAAAATGCTGCAGAAAAATAACCAAGATTAGTAAACAATAATAAAAAACAAAAAAAGCAATGTAGCTTTTGTGGTCTGGTATGCCTCTAAACACTCAGAACTTACTTGGGCAAGAGAAAATCCTCCTTCATGATTATTAATGCCAGTCATGAATGGCACAGTGAGTAGTTCATGCTTCTGTAACAGCTCTGGCACAGGTTTAGTCAGGAAGTGCCCATCAACACTCACAGGAAATCTCAAATTTTGATCCTAGAGAGCGAAAATATGTACAGAAGGGGATATGGTGAAAAATACAGCAAGTAAATTAGATCTAAAACACTAGTTTTTTCAATGCAGTATCTCACCTTCCCTAATGCCAGTATGGTCTCAATGTCCAGGTTCCTAATGCATTTAGCAATCTCCTCTGTGCTTTCAAGGTTACAGCCAGAGGCGTTTGCTGCTGCCTGAAAAAAAAATTCGGACTCACGAAATTTTGAATATATACAGAATGAAAAAAATTACAACTTACCTTCATCATTGGTACAGGATCATGTCCTACAAGCACATCCATAGCAGCTGTTCCACTCTCAGCAATGGCTCGGTGGAACAGGCCATCAGACAAGGGAGACAGAAGCTGAGTGGTGAAATAGATTAAATTAATTCAAAAGCATTCATTGAAAGAAACAAGTTTGTTGGCAGATTACTTCATACCAGAAGTGAAACGCTGACACCACCAGCAGATTCACCAAATATGGTGACCAAATCTGGGTTTCCTCCAAAGTTTTGAATGTGCTCCTTGACCCACCTCAGGGCTTGGACCTGGTCTAAAAGTGCAAGGTTCCCTGGAATATGTTCATCTCCAGTGCTGCACCAAACAATTAAAAAAAGAACAGATTTTGATAATAGAAAAATCAGCAGAAAAAAATTATTTCATTGCTCCAATCATGTTTTAGCTACTGGCGACCTGTCCAGGGTGTACCCCGCCTCAAGCCCGTGGACAGATGGAGATAGGCACCAGCACCCCTCGCGACCCCAATTGGGACAAGCGTGTCAGATAATGGATGGATGTTCTAGCTATTGAGTTACCTGATGAACCCCAGAAGTCCCAGTCTATACTGGATTAGAACCACAACTACATCTTGGTAGGCAGCCAGAGCAGAACCATCGAACATTGAAGCGGACCCAAGAACAAAGCCTCCACCATGGATCGACACCATGACCTGAGAGAGATATTAGATTTTTTTTCAGACTAACCCTCAGTCAGTCAACTACCAGGATGTGTCTCTATGAAGAAGCCGTCTAATTCTGTTAAGTTTACCACTATATTATATCTTGGGAGCATAACTGGCAGATATTACCAGGATGAAAGTACATTTCACTTCCAGTTCAGAGCAGAAATCCAGCCTCCTGACCTTTATCTCAAACCAATATGAAGCCGAATCTCTAAGTAAACAGTCACACAAACTCAAAGCAGAGCTTCTTACTGGGAGCTTAGCATCAGGAGCTCTATTTGCAGGGGTGTAAATGTTGAGGTACAGACAGTCCTCTGAAGCATCTGGGATTTCCACCATCATACCACTGAGTTGTTCAGCCAATCTGTTAACCATGTCCATATCTTGAATGCATCTGTAAAATAAACATTTTATGAAAAGTTAATCACCAAAACCCGGCCAATGTAGAGGGTACTACACAGAAACATATTACTTACATCTTGGGTTGCTTGGTGGCATCTCTCAGTCCTGACCATCCCTCTGGGGGCTGAGGTGCAGCTAGTCTGAGGGTGGGACCGAGGGGGGGCTTAGCAAAGGGGATGCCCAGGAAGGCATGGACACCCGTCTCCTTCCCCTTAACGCTCACATATTGTCCTCTCAATCTGCCGAGCTTTGTTTGGACCTCTGGGGCTATCAGGAAAAAAAATTTAAAACCAGAATGAGGATCGTTTTTTATAGGGACCCATTTTCTTTCTGCTCCTAGTTCTGAGGTTCAGCTTATTAATTGATTTTCCAAAGTGTTTGTTTCCTCTTGGTGTAGATGCACAGTTCTGTTTATGCATCCAGCTACAGTTCAACCCATGCCTGGCTCCACTGCTCTCATTACACTTAAAAAAAAACAATCTAGCAATAGGTAAAAATTCGTAATTAAGTGTATTTACCCATAATTTGAGTAGGAAAATAAGATGATTTGTCAATGGAATTAGTATTTCACTCTTAAAATAAGATAAATAGATAAGATGCACTTGAAATAAAACAATGCAATTTTTTTTTTATATTTTTTCAATCTAAATTGTCTTGTTCCATTGGCAAAGTGTCTCACTTACCTTCTCAATTCAAGAACAAATGCACCTATTTAAAAAAAGACTTATTTTGACTTCAGTTTTTTGCAGCATATATAGTTTGAAAATGGCCATGAGTCACACAAAGCAAACATTCTTATAAATTTATGAGTAGAAGAGGAAGGCCTCAGAAAAAAGAAGTAGGACAATAGTTAATTTGGGAGATTCTTTGACATGATGGAGGAGGGGCAGGTAGGATGCTCTTGTGCTGAAAAATCGTCCACTATGCCATCAACAGATAATTGCAATTTATAAACGGTATACAATATAACGAGATACACTCACCGGCCACTTTATTAGGTACACCTGTCCAACTGCTCGTTAACACTTAATTTCTAAGCAGCCAATCACATGGCGGCAACTCAGTGCATTTAGGCATGTAGACATGGTCAAGACAATCTCCTGCAGTTCAAACCGAGCATCAGTATGGGGAAGAAAGGTGATTTGAGTGACTTTGAACGTGGCATGATTGTTGGTGCCAGAAGGGCTGGTCTGAGTATTTCAGAAACTGCTGATCTACTGGGATTTTCACGCACAACCATCTCTAGGGTTTAAAGAGAATGGCCCAAAAAAGAAAAAACATCCAGTGAGCGGCAGTTCTGTGGGCGGAAATGCCTTGTTGCCAGACTGGTTCGAGCTGATAGAAGGGCAACAGTGACTCAAATAACCACCCATTACAACCAAGGTGGGCAGAAGATCATCTCTGAACGCACAGTACGTCGAACTTTGAGGCAGATGGGCTACAGCAGCAGAAGACCACACCGGGTGCCACTCCTTTCAGCTAAGAACAGAAAACTGAGGCTACAATTTGCACAAGCTCATCGAAATTGGACAATAGAAGATTGGAAAAACGTTGCCTGGTCTGATGAGTCTCGATTTCTGCTACGACATTCGGATGGTAGGGTCAGAATTTGGTGTCTACAACATGAAAGCATGGATCCATCCTGCCTTGTATCAACGGTTCAGGCTGGTGGTGGTGGTGTCATGGTGTGGGGAATATTTTCTTGGCACTCTTTGGGCCCCTTGGCACCAATTGAGCATCGTTGCAACGCTACAGCCTACCTGAGTATTGTTGCTGACCATGTCCATCCCTTTATGACCACAATGTACCCAACTTCTGATGGCTACTTTCAGCAGGATAATGCACCATGTCATAAAGCTGGAATCATCTCAGACTGGTTTCTTGAACATGACAATGAGTTCACTGTACTCAAGTGGCCTCCACAGTCACCAGATCTCAATCCAATACAGCATCTTTGGGATGTGGTGGAACGGGAGATTCGCATCATGGATGTGCAGCCGACAAATCTGCGGCAACTGTGTGATGCCATCATGTCAATATGGACCAAACTCCCTGAGGAATGCTTCCAGCACCTTGTTGAATCTATGCCACGAAGAATTGAGGCAGTTCTGAAGGCAAAAGGGGGTCCAACCCGTTACTAGCATGGGGTACCTAATAAAGTGGCCGGTGAGTGTGTATATATATATATATATATATCATGGTTCAATTCCTGGCCCAGGGTCTTTCTGCATGGAGTTTGCATGTTCTCCCTGTGCATGCATGGGTTCACTCCGGGTACTCCTGGTTCCTCCCAAGGTCCAAAAACATGACTGTTAATTGGCTTCTCTAAATTTTCCTTAGGTGAAAATAATTCTTAATCATACAGAGCTGCATTCAAGATATTATGAATAACCAAGAAAAAGTTACTTAACAACTACTCAAATTTTATTAAGATATTATCAGGGCCAGTGTTTTCCCAAGTTGTAATCAGTTGCAGGTTATAGAGTATATTAGATTCCTTATTCTTATTTCTGCATTGAAGAGTTTTTATAAGATTTAAGTTAGAATTTTTTTTAATGCTTAATTTTAATGTTTTTGTTATGAATAAAAAATAATTTTATAAAAAAAAAATGACCTGCTACCGTTCTGCATCAAAATGATTGGAATTAGCTTGATTTGGCCATGTTTTTTTTTTTTTTAACCATCAAGCAATTTCACTTTGGTTACAAATTTCACAGCATGCAGACATTTAGGTATAAATCATCCAAAAAATTATCTAAAGAAACCTGTATGTACTGATATGTAAAAAAAAATAAATAAAAAAGGCTAAAAGCAGAAAATTCCATTCATGTTGGAGACAATATCACATTTCTGTCCTTTTAGCAGCACGTACATGTTTTTGTTCATTTTAATATTTTGAGTTAACTCATTTGATTTTTCTTGCATAGATCATGTTAAAAATACTCATATATATTCTACTGATTCTTTTTGTATGTTTTTGTAGTTATACATTTATTGTGTGAGTTAATTTGGCATTGTTGCCTTTTTTGACTTGAGCACTGGCCCCACGTCTGTGCAGTGAGCTGCTCTGATGTAATGTGTCACCCATGAACGCACCTCGTTTAGTGGGTAAAAAGGCAAACATGGCAACACCCAGATCAGAGATCAAGAAGAGCAGGTTGTCTGTGACACGGCATTTTAAGTTAAAAATCAAACCTTAAAATACATTTTGTTTTTAAAAGATCAACAAGTATATTACGTTTATGAATGAAAATCTCATATTGCGTGCAGGATTGTGGAACTCTGCTGCCATTTATGTTGAGCTGAGGAAAGAACAGTCTGCCTCTTACCTTGCAGATCAGCAATACAGTTTAGAAACAAAACACACAGAAGAAAGCAAATGTGGAACTTCATGCTGGGCTTCAGGAAAATCTTAGCAAAACAACTACATGGAAGGCAATGCCCAAGAAGAAGCAATACAGCCTCCAATGAACTTTCACTTAGAACTGTAATCAGTTTAAAGCTGCACATGGGCAACTTACCTGTCACATGACTTATTACAGCAATGATAGCTGCAGGTCAAAGTCAGCAATCTCTTATAGTACACATTTCATTTGTGTCTAGAAAAAATGAATGATCGAAGGAAGTTAAGAAAAAAGGAAAAACACCACAAACTAACTGTAACATTGTAAAAAAAAAAAAAAAAACATAATTTGGCTAATTATTTGGAAGAAAAGGGACGATACTGCAGCTTGAGACTTTAGAAGAAGCTGGGTGAAGCATTTTTAGATAAATTAGAAAAGTATTACAATTTCTGCATCATTTCGCTGTCCCACAGCTAATGATCAAGAAGAAAGCAGGCCAAAGAAAGAAGGTATAAGACTTCCTCTGTAATTTGAGCTTATATCAATGATTTTAGTTAAACATGACTGGAATAAATTCTGTTAATGCTTAAAGAGGTTTCCTGCTTTGTGTACGCTATCTGAGAAAAGCCCCTCCTCTGATTGGGACCAGATAATCAATATTATGATAGAACAATCCAAAATAAATAAATTTTTATATAGAGGCCGAACATCTCTACTTTGAGCCCCTCCCTGATGGTTGAGTTAGATTAGATTAGATTAGATGAGCTTTATTGATCTCATTCTACCTCTAAGCAAGCGACCTGCCACCCTTTGAAGGAAGCCCATTTTAGCCAGTTTTTATGTGGGACTCTCTTATAGTCATGACCACTCTGTTATTTCAAGCTTTGCCTTTTGGCTAAGCTCTCACATTCTCTATCTTCACCACATCTGTCTGGTGTAGCATCCACACTGCGGTGGTAGTTGCACCGATCTGTCTGCCAATCTCCCCCTCCATTCCCTCCTCAACAGTGAATAGCACCCCAAGATTTTTTTAACTCCTCCTCTTGAGGCACGGGTGCCCCTCTAATCTGAACAGGGCAAAAACCTTGGTTGGGAACCATGGATTTGACTTGGAGGAATTTAACCTAACCCAGACCGCTTCACACTTGTCTGTGAACTACCAAAATGATGATGATACAGAGAAATTCCCATGATCCCTTGAGCACCCTGCAGGGGCGCCACCAGGGGGTGGCCAGGGGTGGCCACGGCCACCCCACTGGCCACCCCACTCGCCAGTGTAAATGGTAGTAGCGTCAGTTTAGCGGTTAATCCCATTATGCAGAGCCAGCAACACTGCCGCTCTTCTAGACCTTCTCGCGCACCGTAGCTCACCAGCATTTCCCTTCCCCCTCCCGCCCCCACTCCGTCCCATCGAGCAGCAGTTGCGTTCTCCGACAGCTACAGTTTAGCGCGTGCCCGCCTTCAACAGTGATTAAAAGAACTCATAGAGAAAGCGAACAAGACTAACGGTAAGTAAATAAGTCAAATCCTTCGTTTGTAAAGAAGAGGGGCATAAATGAACTGTATCAGCTGTATCAGTTACAGCGACTTTGAGTGTCTTTTTGACAGAGTTACGTAGCTTGTGCTTATGTATGGTTTGTCTATTTCCAGACAATGAAGAGAAAGTCCAGAGATATATCTTCTTATTTTAAGAAGAAAATAACAGTGGAAAGTGATAGAGATGACAGGGGATCAACAGAGAGCGAGTGAGAAGGAGGAGAAAGAGGAGGTGGATGGAGGGATAGTAGACAGTGATGAGGAAAAGCATCAGGCAGCAGAGCAGGAACAGTCAGCACCAATGATCAGTGAAACATGGCAGGACTCAGCAAAAGCAGGTGTTCCTGGACCGACAGGTGAAGTTATGATTATGTGGCCATAAAAATGAAATAAATGAAATTAGTGAATTGTCTAGAAAATAATATCCTCGAAAGAAATGTATGTTTTGTTTGTGTTTCCATCAAATCACAAATCAATAAGGACTCACTTAAAGTTATTTTTTTTATTAATTTTGATTAATTAAAAAAAAAATGTTGATGGGTTAGTTTTCATTTTTCTGAATCAAAATGCCTGTAGGCCATTAATACAGCTATAATTATTCATTACGGTGGAGATTCTGGTATTATTATCATTTATTATTAGTGTCATCATTTTGATTTCAGAATAACAGACTTTTGCTCCTGTTTCATTGCAGATATCTCCCAGTCAACCAAGCAGCCACAACTAAACATCTTCCCTAGAACCTGTCATGGGGACAGGAAAAGATGTTTTTCTAAAGAGTGGTACAGCAGATATAAATGGCTCGAATATTCTCAGAGTAAAGACTCTGTATATTTATATAATATAAATTTTTATATATTAAGAATAAGTTAACATACACTATATTGCCAAAAGTATTTGCTCACCTGCCTTGACTCACATATGAGCTTAAGTGACATCCCGTTCCTAATCCATAGGGTTCAATATGACGTCGGTCCACCCTTTGCAGCTAGAACAGCTTCAACTCTTCTGGGAAGGCTGTCCACAAGGTTTAGGAGTGTGTTTATGGGAATTTTTGACCATTCTTCCAGAAGCGCATTTGTGAGGTCGCACACTGATGTTGGACGAGAAGGCCTGGCTCTCAGTCTCCGCTCTAATTCATCCCAAAGGTGTTCTATCGGGTTGAGGTCAGGACTCTGTGCAGGCCAGTCAAGTTCATCCACACCAGACTCTGTCATCCATGTCTTTATGGACCTTGCTTTGTGCACTGGTGCACAGTCATGTTGGAAGAGGAAGGGGCCAGCTCCAAACTGTTCCCACAAAGTTGGGAGCATGGAATTGTCCAAAATGTCTTGGTATGCTGAAGCATTCAGAGTTCCTTTCACTGGAACTAAGGGGCCAAGCCCAGCTCCTGAAAAACAACCCCACACCATAATCCCCCCTCCACCAAACTTTACACTTGGCACAATGCAGTCAGACAAGTACCGTTCTCCTGGCAACCGCCAAACCCAGACCCGTCCATCAGATTGCCAGATGGAGAAGCGCGATTCGTCACTCCAGAGAACGCGTCTCCACTGCTCTAGAGTCCAGTGGCGGCGTGCTTTACACCACCGCATCCGACGCTTTGCATTGCACTTGGTGATGTATGGCTTGGATGCAGCTGCTCGACCATGGAAACCCATTCCATGAAGCTCTCTGCGCACTGTTCTTGAGCTAATCTGAAGGCCACATGAAGTTTGGAGGTCTGTAGTGATTGACTCTGCAGAAAGTTGGCGACCTCTTCGCACTATGCGCGTCAGCATCCGCTGACCCCGCTCCGTCAGTTTACGTGGCCTACCACTTCGTGGCTGAGTTGCTGTCGTTCCCAAACACTTCCATTTTCTTATAATACAGCTGACAGTTGACTGTGGAATATTTAGGAGCGAGGAAATTTCACGACTGGATTTGTTGCACAGGTGGCATCCTATCACAGTTCCACGCTGGAATTCACTGAGCTCCTGAGAGCGACCCATTCTTTCACAAATGTTTGTAAAAACAGTCTGCATGCCTAGTTGCTTGAATTTATACACCTGTGGCCATGGAAGTGATGTGAACACCTGATTCCAATAATTTGGATGGGTGAGCAAATACTTTTGGCAATATAGTGTATAAGTGTTTCTTGTAATCTTTTTTTTTTTGTATCCTTGTAATCATTATATGACCGTTGTTCCCTGTTGGGAAATTCCTGTTACATAAATAAAGATATAAATTCTTATTTTTATCTGCCAGTATCTGCTTTTCCCCAGTATAATTTAGTTTTCTATAAATGAATAAAATTACACCTTATTCCTAATGTGATTAGATAATACAAAGCAATTATTGTTCAACTCAAAATGTTAACTGTACTGTTATTGGTCTATATCAGGGGCCGCAACCTTTAGAGTCTAAAGAGCCATTTTGCCTTCAGTCCACTTGAATTAAACTTGTTCAGAGCCCCAAATGTTGCCTGGCCTCATTTATTATTAGTGTCATCATTTTGATTTCAGAATAACGGACTTTTGCTCCTGTTTCATTGCAGATATCTCCCAGTCAACCAAGCAGCCACAACTAAACATCTTCCCTAGAACCTGTCATGGGGACAGGAAAAGATGTTTTTCTAAAGAGTGGTACAGCAGATATAAATGGCTCGAATATTCTCAGAGTAAAGACTCTGTATATTTATATAATATATATTTTTATATATTAAGAATAAGTTAACATATAAGTGTTTCTTGTAATCTTTTTTTTTTTTGTATCCTTGTAATCATTATATGACCATTGTTCCCTGTTGGGAATTTCCTGTTACATAAATAAAGATATAAATTCTTATTTTTATCTGCCAGTATCTGCTTTTCCCCAGTATAATTTAGTTTTCAATAAATGAATAAAATTACACCTTATTCCTAATGTGATTAGATAATACAAAGCAATTATTGTTCAACTCAAAATGTTAACTGTACTGTTATTGGTCTATATCAGGGGCCGCAACTTTTAGAGTCTAAAGAGCCATTTTGCCTTCAGTCCACTTGAATTAAACTTGTTCAGGGCCCCAAATGTTGCCTGGCCTTTTGAAAAAGGACAAGTTATATTTTAGATAAAGATCTGCTGTAGGAAATAAGTTGTCATTGTTAAACGCCCTTTTATGTCTATATTGAGGTTTAAAAAAAGATGATGGATAGGATGCTGACATTTGTGGATAATGATGTAAAATAAATCATAGTTTCCAACATAATGGAAAAATATGGATTTAAAATTAAATATTACTGGCACTTTCACCATCATTCTGTTGTGAAAATTAATAGCAATTATTACAAGAAAAATACTGCTAAAACCTGTATTTATTATCATTATTACATTTAATTACCACAATAAAAATATAATGTGTAGCCAAAGTTATTAAGAGCCACTGTGGAAGGTCCAAAGAGCCACTTGCCACAGGTTGCAGACCCCTGGTCTATATCTATGCACATTAGATCATTAGTAACATTAAAAATCACACAATAACCCAAAATATATCAATAGGTGTTTATTTAAGTCTTAAAATCCTGAAAATATGGCCATTAGCTTCAGTGTGCCACCCCAAGAATTTAAGTGGCCCCATCTGGCCACCCCTATGAAAAATTTCTGGAGGCGCCACTGGCACCCTGCAGAGGGTGTAGCACTGGTCCAGTGTTCCACAGCCAGGTTGAAGACCACACTGTTCCAAAATCCTAATGCTTCAGAAAGCCAGTTTGACTTATATTATCCCTGTGGCTGTTACACCTGAGTTTATGGCTTTTCACTTTATGTATTACTGTTTCGTATCCTTTTAGCTTTGTTTTGCAGTGTTTTAGCACAGAGATTTTTCGATAATCTCAAGGCGCACGGACAATTCCTAGACACATTTACTATTGAAAGTACGACCTAGTGTCACCGTTAAGTATTGAAAGTCCTGCTGTATGCAAAGACATGTTCAACAATCGTAATATGTGGAGGAGATGGATTAGGAAGGCAGGGAGCTCTGTAAATTTTAAAAGAAGTTTGTTTACGGTATTAGCAAGGCCTGCAAAAATAAGGGGATTGTTTGGGGATGTGACATTTATTTGAGTTGTTGTGTCATGTGGTCAGTAAAATCCAGGAGATGGAAGTCTGGATTAAGTGCTGAGAGTTCATTGGGATCTGAAGACTTCCACACCACAGAATAATCCCAGACTCTAACAACACATAAAGTGGATGTAAGCGTGTCTCCGAACCTATCGAGACAAAAACCTTCTGTCTTTAGAGGATTTTTTTTTCTCCCAAAAAATTATTTAGTTGTTGAAATGTATAGATTTTTTTACCACATGCCTGTTTAAGTCATTCGCTGATCCTCCTGCATGATTACGTTTCTCTGCATTGTTAGCTAGGCTTTTTTATATAGATGCAGTGTTCTCCCTGATAGATGTGGTCCCTGGTCTTTAAGGCAAGAAATCTGTTTCTTCTGAATTGTTATAAAGAAATAATTGCAGGGTCTTGACTGGAGTAATAGTAGCAGGTGTTCCTAAAGTGGCTTTAAAAGTTTTTAAGCTTAATCTCTATGTACTGTTTGCATATCAACACTTTATAAGTGTTTTGTTGTTTTATACTAAAGAACTTCAGACGGTGCATTTTAAAAGCAGGCTTTAATCCACTATGTGGCTGTCATGTGTCGAAGTCCTGGCTTACTGACCTTTGCTGCATGCCTTCTACTCCTCTATCTCATTTATATGCCTTTCTGTATAGTTTGAAATCAAGCTATGATACAAACTAAAGGCCACTACATCTTAAAAAACAACATTAAAAAGGTTAAATAGATACAGTGATAAGTTTTTGTTTTTCTGCTTAATTTAGCTCGTTGGAACTCAGTCTATTATTTCAATTACAGTTTGTCTAGTGTTTAGCATTGGAACAATACCTTTAATGTAGATAGTTTTCAAATAACTTTACATGAGACAGAAGGTGTTTATGGTTTAACCAAAGACACTTCATTCTTCTCCAAAAGAGCACTTGCTTTTACATTCATCAAGAACTTTGACATTAAAAGCAGCTCATAATTTTTCATTTCCTATCACCAAACTTGATTACATATTTATATTTTCAGTATTATTCTCAATAATTCACAAACAGGACATTACTTCCTAAATCAACACATCTTTAAAGACAGACTAGATGATTTGCATCAGGTTATAGACTTAGGTAGTGCTTTAAATCATTGAATTGTAGATATCTCTGCCTTTAAGCTGCACTACAACTCACCATGCACCCTGTTCTCCTCAAACTTCCTGATCTTCTCTGGTAGAGTTTCAGTTACAAAGATGAAACGATCCTTTTTGAGGAACTGAGCAGACGCCTGGTTCTTCAGGTCAATAGACAGATACTTTTCATCTGCTCCATATTTAGGCCAGTTGACAAGACCCTCCCCATTAGGAGACCTATAGAAAACATTGTTTTAAACTTTATATAATGTGAGTATTCTGTACACTGAATAATCAGCAACTCTTACCCTGTGCGAGCAAAGTTACCCCAATAGCTCATCATGATTTTGCTAAACTCTTCCTCCTCTTTGGGACATGGATCTAAATAAATCAGTTAACAGCAAAGATATTAGATACAAACACACTGGATATGCAGTTAATGTGGCTGGACCAGCCTGATTGGAATGAACAAATGGAATTTTAAACTGAAGTAATGATACAGATAGAATTTATTTAACAGGTTAAGCTGAAGTTCACAGTTTCACTAATTGTTTATTTACCACTGGAAGCAGAGCCTATAAGGCATACTGCTACATTTGGATTACTTACCAGCTAATTTTACGTGCGTAGTTGTGAAGCAGTATCCCAGCACTGTGAACATGTCATCGCCATGGTCACATTTAACAAAGCTGGGTCTTTTTTTATGCAGGAACATGGGAGCATGATGATACTCGTACAAGTACACAGGAGCGCCCGCATCTATATATTAACAAATAGGGATCATGTTTGTTTGGGAGACACAACAATAGTATATAGCAAACACTGGATTTTGGATGATCTTGCAAGGAAAAAAACACCTCTGTGAGCATTCACTGATTTAATGGCAGGGAAGGTAAATAAGAAATCCCCGAGCAGCTCAGTGAATCCATCTCTGTTTCTGATGCGGTCTTCACCAGATCCAACATATTCCTTAATAATCAGATCTCTGATGGGTGCAGCTTCAGGCTGATCAAATAAAAATAAATACAATAAAATACAGCAGTTAAAGAAATTAACAACAAAATAAAATTAATACAAGCCCTTGAACGTATCCTGATTTCTTTATGTTACATAAAAAAAATTTTTAGCATGTTTCATTGGGACTTATGCTATTAGTCCAAAATTAAAAATGGGGAATGATATATTTTTTAATGTTGTATCTTGTTTGCACTAAAAACTTGAGTAGACACTAATTGGAAGATTAAGGGGATTGTTGGCCTAGTGGTTAAAGCAGTACGCTTGTGCTCTGAGAAGGTTGCAAGTAACTGGTTTGATCCCCACAGCCTGCACTCTTGGTTCCCGAGCAAAACCCTTATCCCCACACTGCTCCCCAGGCATCACCCAATGACAGCCCACTGCTTCCCAAGGGAATGGGTTAAATGCAGGGAGTAAATTTCCCCATTGTGGGGCAATAAAGGGATTTACAAAAAAACAATGGAGAAATTCAATTCTGCATCTTAACCCATCCCCTTAGGGAGCAGTGGGCTGCCACTCTGCAGCTCCTGGGGAGCAATTAAGTTAGGAGTTAAGGGTCTTGGTCAGGGACCCAGAATGCAGGGTGTGGGGACTGAGCCGGGTAATTAAACCCTTCTCAGGGCACTGCTCTAACCGACTAGTGGGTGGCAAGGTCTCTGGCTTCTTCTCTGATTAATGCTGACCTTACTAGGCCTGTCATTTAGGAGACTGGCCCTGTCTTGTTGAGTTTACAACTTTACTATTTTAATTTTTTGTATGTGATAACAGTGATATTTGAGATGCTAAGAGCTGGAAATGCTATTTTGTAACCTGATCCAATTTTACAGGGCTAAAAAAAACTTTCATGAGCTGCCTGGTCTGTTGCATGGTTGTCAGGATGTCTTTTTGTTACTAATGTTCTTTAACAAACCTCTGAGGCCTTCACAGAACAGCTGGATTCATACTAGGGATGAGTATTGGAATGGGTGTTGCGATATGATACAATACATGTCATGATATTGCGATAATATCACGATAATAATAGCAATATATATTTCGATATTTTTCCCTGCCATCAAAATTAAATGTCTAGCTAAAAAAGGGCAAGGGCTGCATATGTTCATCAGAAGATATTGATCACTTAGTTATCCATGTCTTCCACTGTGACTGCCTCAACTACAGATATGCGCCATGCCGCACAGTAAAAGGGCTCAACAGCGCTATCTGCCAGAGTGGCGGTGCAGAGGTAACCCATTTTTCCTAATTGTTTTAGTTCAAATGTTTTGTTTTTTTTAATCGATACTAGGAACTGAAATATCAATATTATATGGACCAGCCAAAAATCACCATATATCGCCAAATCGATTTTTTCCCACACCCCTAATTCCTACCAAGTTCAAATGGCAAACACATGAACCACATTTAATAATCTGGTGACTCCTGAGGGCAAGCAGTTGCACTGGATTTCATTTCAGGGTACTAGTGAAGGGATATTAATTAGGGGTGAGTATTGGCATTTATGCTGCGATACAATATGTATCACCATATTTGGGACATGATACGATATTGTCACGATATTGCAATATCACTATATACTGTGATATCTTACCCAGCTATCAAAAGGAAATGTATAGATAAGAAAAGCAGGTGCCGTATATGCTTATCCATGAATCCATGTTGTTTATGGTTTGAGTCAGTCCACGTCTTCTACTGCGACTGCCTTTACTACAGAAATGGTGCTGCGGCGCGCAGCAAAAGGGCTCTACAGCACTATCTACTAGAGTGGCCCTGAAAAGGTAGCCCATTTTAACTCACTGATTTAGATTTAAAAAATTATAAAACAATTTAATCAATATTAGGAACTGAAAGATTGACATTATATTGGGCAGCTGGAAAATCACTATATATCGCCAAATCGATTTCTTCCCACACGCCTAATATTAATACAAACTCAACAATTTTATACATTTTAAAACTCAGGTATTTTCCTCCCACCTCAAAAATATACACTACAATGTGAGCTCTCATAGATGCAAACTAATTACCATACATTTTCTTTTTATCTTAAGAGTATGAATATCTTTAAAAGTTGTTTATCAAACAATAAGTGTCTTACAAGCGGGAAGAACATGAGCAGCATGTTTCCAATTGACTCTTTATCCATTCCTTCTGTCCAGTTTGGAGAACCAAAATGCTACCAAAAAAAAAAAAAAAAGGACCAGGATTAATAAGAATTACTAAAAATTTAACCAAGTTTTTGTGGTCTGAAAACTTACACTGGCAAGCATAAAACCTCCTTCATGATTATTAATCCCGGTCATGAATGGTAAATTGAGTAGTTCATGATTCTGGTACAGCTCTGGCACAGGTTTAGTCAGGAAATGTCCATCAATGTTTACAGGACATCTCAAATTTGGATCCTAAAAAGAAAAAGAAAATGTACAGAAAATGGGAAATGGTGAAATAAACAGCAGGAAAATTAGATCTAAAACCTTTTCCAAGCAGTGTCTCACCTTCCCTAATGCCAGTATGGTGTCAATGTCCAGGTTTCTAATGCATTTAGCAATCTGCTCTGTGCTTTCAATGCTGCAACCAGAGGCATTTGCTACAGCCTGAAAAAAAGACTTAAAATCAAGAAATCTTATGATAATACAAAACGAGAAATCCTAACGATTGTCGACCAACCTGCATAACTGGTACAGGATCTTTTCCAACAAGCGCATCCATAGCAGCTGTTCCACTCTCAGCAATGGCTCGGTGGAACAGGCCATCAGACAAAGGAGAAAGAAGCTGAGTGGGTATAGAGCAAATTAAATCAAGATAAATAGTTTTTTAACAACACAAATTTTGCTGGCAGATTACTTCATACCAGAAGTGAAACGCTGGCACCACCAGCAGATTCACCAAATATGGTGACCAAATCTGGGTTTCCTCCAAAGTTTTGAATATGCTCCTTGACCCACCTCAGGGCTTGGACCTGGTCTAAAAGTCCAAGGTTCCCGGGAATATGTTCATCTCCAGTACTGCATAAAACACAATTTGGAAAAAAAAACAGGTTTTAAAACAGGAAAAACAATAAAAAGAAATGATTGAATTGTTTTAAATGTGTGTCAGATAAGGATTAACCTGAAAAAGCCCAGAAGTCCCAGCCTATACTGGATTAGAACCACAACTACATCTTGGTAGGAAGACAGAGCAGAACCATCGAACATTGAAGCGGAACCAAGAGCAAAGCCTCCACCATGGATCCACACCATGACCTCGGATTAAGAGTTGGACAAATTCTCCATTTTATTTTCAGAGCAAATTATTGAAAGATATTTCCTAAGTCTAATACAAGAGGTAAAAGAAAATTAAGATTTCATCCTGTCGATTCTTTGTCCACCTCTCCAGGTTTGTATCTCAATGATGTTCTTATGCAGGGTAAAATGACATCTCATTTCCAGTTCAGAGCAGAAATCCTATCTCCTAATTTTATCTCAAACCAACATGAAGCCGAATTTCCAAGTAAACAGAGTCACACAAACTCAAAGTTTCTTACAGGGAGCTTAGCATCAGGTGCTCTATTTGCAGGGGTGTAAATGTTGAGGTACAAACAGTCCTCTGAAGCATCTGGGATATCCACCATCATACCACTGAGCTGTTCAATCAGACTGTTAACAACTTCCATATCTTGAATGCATCTGTAAAATAAACATTTTATGAAAAGTTAATCACCAAACCTGGCCAATGTAGAGGGTCCTACACAGAAACCTATCACTTACATCTTGGGTTGCTTGGTGGCATCTCTCAGTCCTGACCATCCCTCTTGGGGCTGAGGTGCAGCCAGTCTGAGGGTGGGACCGAGGGGGGGCTTAGCAAAGGGGATGCCCAGGAAGGCATGGACACCCGTCTCCTTCCCCTTAACGCTCACATATTGTCCTCTCAATCTGCCGAGCTTTGTTTGGACCTCTGGGGCTGTCAGGATACAAAAATAAAAAATATATCTTTCTTTATTCGGATCCCGCTGATTTTTAATTGGTTACCCCTGCTGTGAGGGGAGATATCAAAACAGTCTTTAGCGAGTTTAGTCTGCCTAATAAACTCCATAAATAATATAAGTAAATAAAATAAAAAATGCCACATGTTTGGTATATACTTTGGCGCGCTTTTGCATGCTTTAAATATGTCTACTTTTTGTTGATCTTTTAATTGCTATATAAATTTAAACCAGGTAGTTTTGATCTTGAATGTATTTTACAAATACACTGACTGAAATCTGAATGACGTATGCAGACCCGGAAATTACCCCTATTGCTGGATGGGGGGGCGGATTGCTTCACTCAGACTATTATGTATGAAGTAACCGCCTGACTGCAGGTATGGCAGGCCGTTATGACATTTATTAGAAGTGCTGTCCTCTCTACTGTTCCATTTGTTAATCTTCCTAGTCAAAACTACATTCCTACTAGCCAGAAATGTACATATAGATATCCTAAATTAAATTTTTGCTTGCAAAAAATACATTTCAGGCAGCCAAAAATATAATTGTACTAGTAAGAATTAACTTTCAAATACCTAGAAATCTTTACAAAGTTTAAGTGGGCCTTTCAGCATTTATTAGCTTGATGAAATATATAAATTTCAGCTGTCTCAAATGCATTCCATCCTAGTCAAAATGAACATTTCACATATCTAAAATATACATTCTTCCCATCTTAAAATTAATTCTGACTCTAATTTCAGATCTCCATAACAGAGTTACTGCTAGTCAAAATTACTATTTCAGATATCAAAAATGAATATAACATTACAGATATCCAGAAATCCAATTCTTGACATCTAAAATATATTTCTACTAGTAGAAATATAATAACAGATAAAAACTATTGAAAGATGACTAGTTAAATTGGAATTTCAGATATCTAAATTTTAATAATGCCCATCTAAAATTTAGTTTTAGATACTTTTAGAAGAATAATGAGGCTCCATTTTAACATAAAATAGGCAGTCTGAATTTCATTTTTAGACACCCAGAATGTTTATTTTAGATAGGAGTAATGCCATTTTGGATATCTGGACGTAAAAGCCCAATACACATGAATGGGAAACATGACCTCATTTTTACTAGTATGAATTATATTTCAGATATCTGCAATGTTTATTTTAGATAGGAGGAATGTCATTTCAGATATCTGAAATTTTAATTTTGACTAAGAAGAAATGCATTTGAGACATTTGGAATATATATACAGTATATTCGGTCAAGCTAATAATATACAGTATATTCGGTCAAGCTAATAAATGTAAAAACAGCCTGCCATACCATGACTGCAACTGTCACCATTGACCAGACCAAATAAGTGTGTGTAAGGTATCAGAATCTGGCTCAGTGTGAGCAGCCATCTATCGCAGCCAACTGGTGGTTTTAGCAAATATGCAACACTGAAAGGAAGAACTTATACAGGAGTACTTTCTCTGTCAAAGAAGAGCAAAAGTTAGTACCAGAAAAAATAGAGCAATAAGTTATTGGAAGCACGATATAAGGTGACGTCCTCCTTTAAGAAGGCATCAGAGACGCAACGATTGCAACACCAAATGTTGCTACATTGACGATAAAAAGTCAAAGAGTAAAAAGAAAGATAAAATCTGAATTCAAAGCAAAAGTAATTAATATCAGAGCAGATTGGATTCATTATATATGTAGTCTAGATACTAATAAATTGTTGAAATCTGCCTTTATTGAAGTTTCACAAATCAGAGAATGGTTTCAGAAATACCAGAGCTGGTTTAAATTATTCTGCAAGTAGTTTAAAATACTCTAGTCCAGGTTTAATGTGTCTAGGTAATGTAGTTTCAAAGCTAGACCACTTCTAGTGTGACATGGACACACAAAAAAGTATTACAATCAGCCTTTATTGCAGTTTCACAAATCCCAAACCTGGTTTTAATAATTCTACAAGTAATTTAAAATAATCTGGCTCAGGTTTAATATGTCTAGGTAATGTAGTTTCAAAGCTAGACCACTTCTAGTGTGACATGGACACACAAAAAAGTATTACAATCAGCCTTTATTGCAGTTTCACAAATCCCAAACCTGGTTTTAATAATTCTACAAGTAATTTAAAATAATCTGGCCCAGGTTTAATGTGTCTAGGTATTGTAGTTTCAAAGCTAATCCACTTCTAGTGTGACATGGAAAAAAAAATGTAAAAAAAAAAAAAATCAGTCTGAGGTTTCACATATAAGAGAAAAGTTTCACAAATCCAAGACCTGGTTTTAATTATTCTTTAAGTAATTCAGAATAATCTGGACCAGGTTTAATGTGTCTAGGTATTGTAGTTTTAGAGCTAGACCACTTCTAGTGTGACATGGACACTAAAATAAATTTAAAATCAGCCTTTATTGCAAGTTTCACGAATCAGAGAATGGTTTCATAAATCCCACACCTGGATTTAATTATTCTACAAGTAGTTTAGGATAATCTACGCCAGGTGTGATGTTTCTAGGTGTTGTAGTTTTTTTTATTTAGTGTAGATTATATATGTTGAAGCTAGGAAAAATGAAGTGGAATCCCCCTTTACTCATTTCCCCAATCTGAAACTAGAAGCCAACTTCACTTTAAGTGGGTAAAAGGTAAACATAGCAAAACCCAGATCAGATAACAAGTCAGCTCTATGCTGCTTTTATTACTGTATCAGTCAATTTATTAGCTGTTAAAATCACACTCTAAACGACTTTAAGTTCCAATAGCTTCAGAAGACTAATTTCAAAAACAAAACCCGCATCCTCGGTGCAGAATTGTGGAGCTTTGCGTTTCCACTGATGTCGAGCTGAAAAATAAACGCCTTAATTCCTTACCTTGTGGATCAGCGGCGGCGCTTAGAAACAAAGCGGACACCAGAAAGTAACGGTGGAACCTCATAGTGGGAATCAGCAACATCAGTGCAGAGTTGTTAGCACGGAGGAGGAAACACAGCAAAGCAAGGCTGCCGCTTCCTGTAGACCTTCACTGTAAACTAACAGCTGTGCACCTTCACCTGGACTATTTACCTGAGGGGTTTGTCACGTGACTCACCGCCGCTACAGATAGCAGCTTCTGCCACCTTCATGAACACGTAAAACATGGAAGTGAAATAATCCTCAACCATTTATAAGGCACCATTTTTGATCACTTGCATACCCCCTACAAATCTTAATATATTCGGGAAGTTGGCGTTTCTTGTTATTACATTGATATTATTTTTTGCCATCAAAATATCCCTATTTTTTTTTTATATTACAAAGGTAATAAGGTCTTGTCCTGGATTCCTATAACACTATTGGCTTGAAAAAGAACAGACTGGCTAAATGTTAGATATAAGGATCAAATTTAATATCCACGTGGTATTTATTGCATAGTTCCTTTTATTGGGAGGAACTACATTGTCAGACTTAATCTCATTCTTACCGTAGTAAAATTATAATCCATCGCAAAAAAAACCCACTGTGAACGGAGTTTCTTTCTTTTTTTTTTCTTTAATTAGAGACATAACCTTCCTTTTATTATGAAATCTTTCATTTCCACCTTAACAACAATGAATTAGATATGCAATGGAGCAATGTTTGGTTTCCTTAACATTTTAGTTCAAATATTTGTTGGTCTAGAAAATGTTTTTAGGCAATTCCCAGCAACAAAACAAGAACTTTCTTTGAAAACACTTAATGTAATTCAATGGCTTAATGACACAAGCAAAATTATCTGGGTGGGCCCCCTATGAAGTACAACACCCCATCCCCCCATATGTTTGAAACATATTATATGAATGTATTTTTTACCAACCAGCTAATGAACTATACACATTTATTAACCTAGTAATTAAAAGTACCACTGTCTCCTTTGCTATTGGTGTCGTATTTAAACGGCTCACCATCATGTTGAAATCTGCCATGTGTTGCAGTATGAATAAGGTCCGGTCATAGGATTAGGTGGGATTACGAGGAATTTTTTCGCACCATTACATCTGCAACGAGACATCCTAGTCCACAATTGCATAAGGGGCCAACCAGGTGTCAGTGACGGGGCCTCTAAGCATCTGCAATCTCTGCTTACTGATATTTACGCCATTGCTATAATTGGAAAATTCATTGGAGGACTTTTTTTTTTTTTTTTACAAACCTGCTATAAAGATCAAATGAAAGCAAATAAACCTCTATTTAAAGTTAAATACTTTGAATTATGCCGAACATTTTCTAATTCACAAGTTACAAATTGGCCCTTTATAAACAGAAGTGCTCACATTTTGCTTCCATATGACTAATCTGATGTAGAGTTTCTTTATTTGCACAAACCTGTTCCTCTGGTTGATTAAGAATTAATAGTTTCACCTGTCCATAAAGCTTTTACAAACAAAACACATCTTTAGAACTTTTTCTTTTTGCTCAGAAATAAAATGACCCATTGTGTCCTGTTAAATGATAGTCAGCAGCCATATTCCATTGGCACTTAAGACAAGGTAAGTTTTTTTTATATATAGCACGTTTCAGTAGAGAAACAATTCAAAGTGGTATACATGAAAAAAAAAAAACGACATTAAAAGTACATTGTAGTGTATAAATGCATTTAAATCATTAATAAATGTGAATAATCAAAAATATTACAAATTAATTACATTGATAAAATTATTACAAAAAATAAAATGTATGCAAAGTTAGACTGCCAATGTGTGTAAATGTAAATCCCTTTATTGATCTCACAATGGGGAAATTCACTCTGCATTTAACCCGTCCCCTGCAGGAGCAGTGGGCTGCCATTGTGTGGTGCCTGGGTAGCAGTGTGGGATTAAGAGCTTTGCTCAGGAACCCAGAGTTGAGGGTGTGGGGATCAAACTGGGTACTTGCAACCTTCTCAGAGCACAAGCGCACTGCTCTAACCACTAGATCACCACTCCCTACAACTAATAATGTTTAGATAGCACAGTCAAACACCACTCCAAAGTCTGCTTTTAATCGTGATTAAAGCAACTTAGGGCTTCTGTGTTTTTACACTCTTCTGGGAATTTGTTATATACTGGTGGAGAATAAGAACTAAAAACTGCTTCTCAATGTTTGGATCTGGTTCTGGATATGCAGAGTAGATTAAAGCCTGAAGAACTGAGAGATCTGATTGGATGATACACTATTTAATGTACTTTTGTGCTAAGCCATTCAACAATTTATAAACTAACAGTAGCAGCCTCAGCTGGCCGATGGACTTTTTAGGCAGACATGTGAAAACTGCATCATACTGATCAATTCTGCTAAAGATGAATGCATGCATTATTTTTTCAAGTTACTACAGAAACAGTTATTTAATCCTGGAGGTCTTCTGTCTGTAATCAAAGGCTGACTTTGTTTCTGTATTTATGTGCCACTAAAGGTTCAGATCTAAGTGCATCATTTCATTCACATATCAAACCCGATTGGTGCTTTCTAGTTGTAATAACTGAAGCTGTGTGTTAACTTTTAAACACTCCTACTAAATCTTCTGCTGCTTATCAGAGTCAAAGGTAACTGCTGCCTATCCCTACCAGTCTATGGGTGAAAGGATGGTACATCCTGAATGGGTCATTAGTCCACTGCAGCAAAACATTGACATAAAACCACACACACACCTGGGGGCAGTTAAGAGATACAAATGAACCTAACAGTCATGTGTTTGTGAGGAAGTACTCAAAGTATCCACACATGCACAGATAGAACATGCAAACTCCTTTCAGAAAGATGGCAGGCCACAAATCAATCCCTGGACCTTCTTGCTGCAAGGCAACAGTGCAACAAACCATGCCACCAGGCAGCTCCTCCAAGGGGAGGAGTTCAAGTATCTTGGGCTCCTATTTGTGAGTGAGGGGGGTGTGGAGCGTAAGACTGAAAGAGGAATCAGTGCAGCTGCTGTTATAATGCGGACGCTGCACTGGTTTGCTGTGCTAAAGAGCTAGCTGAGCGAAAAGGCAAAACTCTCGATTTACCCGTCAGTCTACGGTCCTCAGGGGATTCAGATTTTAAAATGTGTCTCTAGTTTGAAAACAACATCACAACTTAGGAGGTCTTCAGATCTGTTGATTTGCAGATCTATAGATATTTTGTCATACCATCTGAGCAGACTAGAAAAATGGTGCTAAAGTATTTTAACATATTTAATTAAATAAATATGGTAAGATTTTCTTTACAATGTATTACAAAAAGTCTGTTTTTAGATTGAGTTATACTAGTGATATCTCGTTTAATATATATTTTTGACTTTATTTATACAGAATAAATTATTAAGGAGTAAAATCAAATTTTCAAGAGAAACCAGTTCTAACTTTATATTATTATAATACTTACATAAAGGACAACAAGTGGAAGTAGACATAAATTATTGAAAACATTAAAATGTTTTCAAAATATTCTTCATGTTAGAAAAAAGAGCGAACGAGAGAAAGAATTAGAGATTAGATAGAGAATGCATTACAGAGTAGTACAATGACACTAAAAGCTGAAAAAAAAAAATGTTAATTTCACCCTTTGCATCACAAAAACTTGACAGTAACATCTGCTCTTTTAAAAAGCACTTATATTATATCTGCATTTAACTTTACATTTGCATTACTTTACTTTTTTTTTTTTTTAAGAAAACATATCTAAAATAACTTTAAAAAATAATATCTAATTTAAAAATATCTAATTCAGTTGTGTTTCACAGGGCTTTTTCACATAGTTCCTTTGAAGAAATACCAGGGGTACCATTAAACCAAATAAACCAGAGGAAGTGCAGAGAGACAGGCAGACAAACAATATATTAGAGAAAATAAGGAGGGAAGTGAGGTAAAGTAGAAGGAAATGTAAAATTTAGACGCCTAGCAAGTCATCTCTACAGGATTCGAACCCATGATTATAATTAGCTATCACCTCCTGCACCAAACATCCTGAATGGTCACTTTCACTCAGACTTGTTTGTTCAATTTATTCCTGTACGTGGCAGCATTTTTTCTTACAAGAGGGCAAGTGAAAAAAAAAAGTTGCTACCAAGATCTATTAGCTCAGAAAGATTCTGTCAAAATAAAGCAACAGGCAATAATACGTTTCCGTACAATAGCGTTCAAAAACATATTATCTGAAAGAACTCATTTTAACTGTTCCTTGAACATTAAATTAATTCAAAATAACAGTTTATTGTAGGGTCTTACAACTTGATGCGTTTTTTTCGACGCGGCCTTACATCTGTCTATCTTAATTACGAATTTCCCGTCTACTGGAATAGATCCCAGGCAGGTCAAGGCTGTCAAAGACAAAAACTATACATAAATCTATCCCAAGGAGAAAAATAGTCGAGCCAGCCAGGAGTCGAACCTAGAATCTTCTGATCCGTAGTCAGACGCGTTATCCATTGCGCCACTGGCCCGATACAGAACTGCGGAGGTACTAAGAAGAAATCGAAAAACACTTTGATGCGCCGCATGACGCTCTGTATTATTGATTTATAAGCGTATTTGATCACGCATTTATATTTCCCATGTCTGTGTTTTAAGAAGACACACGCACGAGCCCACGGTTACCCTGGGATAACCGTTCAACCTTTATGGATGGTCTTTCTATGGTCAACAGCACCCTCTAGCGTTATATTAACTGACGGTCACGTAATGTGGTGCAAAACTAATTTATTCATACAAAAAAAAAAACAGGCTGTGTCTATATATATTCTGTGTCTATTTCTCAATTTAGCATAATTCTAGTTTCACACAAGCGGTTATTTTGCGTTTTTTTTTTTTTCCTAAATTCACACGACAGCAAGTTGCAACTGGAAGACCGGCATCTCCGTTCCAGGTGGGGACGGTAATGCGCCAAAATGTTCCCCTTACCATAGAAGAAGAACGGTGACGTCAAACCAAAACAGAAGTTTTCAGTGGCGGGAAATTTATTGAGCGTTACCTAAATCAGCTTGTTTTCAAAGTAACGGAGTAATTTATCTCTAGAAACTCAGTTGAATTTCAACTTTTAACAAACGTTGTAGACAGGCTTTTTCGAAGCACATATTTTTAGTTTTCTTTTTACTAACCCTGTGACGTGTGTTTGTCTTCGGGAAGATTATGAAAGGTGAAATGGATAAAATCGTCTCCTTGGCTGAGGAAGAAAGTACAGCGGAACTCCAGAAGTACCTCTCCTCACTGACTAATGACCAAGTAGGTCGATTAACAAAATGAATTGAACTAATTTGTGACTAACTGTGCTGATTGTGTTGTCTGGTTGTTTACATGTTATAATATTATCTCCCCATGATGGGCTATTTTAGCTTATAACTGCGACAACCAACAGTGCACTGAAGGGCAAGAAGGTCTGTTCTATGATTAAAGGGATATTTAAAGGTAATTGACCCATCTGTTTTTCAATGCTTGTTTTTAGATCTTGCTATAATATATTTAATGGCCATTTATGTTTGTAAGTGCTGTAAAAATAAAGTTTGCTTCCTTGTTTGTAGGATCTCCACCTGTTTCCAGTGAAGGAGCAAATCGCAGGCTCCTGGTGTATGAGCATCTCATTCCTCTCTGTGAGTCTGGGGATCTTCAGACGGAGGTGGCAGCTGATATCATCGGTCTGCTGATGCTGGAGGTGAGCAGGGCATATTGGTTCATTGGTAATGCAAAGACACAATATAAGCAGCATAGTGAAGATTTTACGGCTGTAACTTGAATTAATCGCGATTAATCGATTATTGAAATAATTGTCAACTAATTTAGTAATCAATTAATCGTCAAATGGAGTATAGAGGCTTGAAAAAATGCATTTTAGCTGACAGAACAACCCACAAAGAGTAGTAATCATACCAAAATTGTTATAATATATATATACATTTTGCATTTAATGTAAAAAAAAAAAAAAGTTTTTTTTCTGTCAGCTCTATCCAGAACTCCACAAGGGGAAAAGTTTTAGTTTCACCTGTTTTTTTTTTTTTTTCGTAAAAAGTCTTCTTTAAGGAACCTTTAACTATCCAATTATTAATCGATTCATTGAAAAAATTATCAACAGATAAATCGATTGGTACAATAATCTTTAGTTGCAGCCGTAGAAGATTTCTTATTGTTATATATTGAGTTTAGTCAATTTCTTACATAAAATACATGACAGTCTGGTTGTAACGTGTTTTTGTACAGACTCATACATTGCCTGGATCATCTCTTGCAAAACTGGCCAATATCTTCGTCGACGCCATTAAAGTGGGGAAAATGGGCAGCGGGAAATCCCTGGAGCTGTTTCCTACCATCCTCACTGCCCTTGCTGCATGTGAAGCCTTGTCATACGGCAAAGGTTAAAAGCTAACTGATTGATTCCCTTGATGGCAATCAGATATGAGGTATGAATGAGAGAGAACATGACTTCTTGTAATCAACAGGGGAGCTGAGCGGTGAAGAATACAAAAAGCAGCTCATTAACAGCCTCTGCTCCAGCAGGTAAACACATGTTGGCTCTGTTTTAGTAACTGGGCTTAACTAATGACTACGATGTGGTTCATAGGTTGTCTATCTTCTTATTTTTCATCCAGATGGGATCCACAGTGTGTTATCCACTTGACAACTATGTTTAGGTAAAAACGACTGTTCATTTTCTATTAGTCTATGTTGACAGCCTCATGAATCCAATGTTTATGATATTTTGTTACACTTACAAACTTTTATTTCTTTGATATTACAATGAAATGTTTTCCATCCCTCAGGGGACATTTGACCCTATTATTTCCAGTTTTTGATCAGTATGAACATAAAAAGAGGAAATGGCATAATATACATTTTACAGAACATTATTTCAAATTGTTTTGGGGAGAAAAGTATTTAACTATGCAATACTATTAACCAAATATGTTCCCAAACCAAGTAGGTGACTTTGGATCTATTTGGTTTGTAGCTTATATCAACATGGCGGACAGAAACTTTAATGTCTGCTGCTTCTTCAACCAGTTTGACACAAAAAGGGATTATTGAAATCATATGGATGATGATCATTAAAGGATAATTCATAAGAGTAATGACAATAAGCCAAATTCATATTTTAAATAATTAGGAAAAGGGGAGAAGCCTACTTTAAATCTTCTGACTGTCAGTGCACAGCAACGTGTAGGGGAGGGGCTGGGCTGCTAATCTATGTTCCACACAGCTGGAGAAACATCAGATCATCTATCTAAAATACTTTAAACTGAAAAGAAAGAGTTACATTTGAAAATGATGTCCCTATTTGAAACTTTTCGAAACCTGAAACCCGCCTTTAGTTCCCTGGCAGTGGGATTTATTATTAGCACTATAGAACACCTTGAATTGCTATACCTATATTTTTAAGTCACTTTGATAAAAAAAACAAAACAAAAAAACATCTTCCAAATGCATAAACAGCATAGAGGACAACATTTAGGTGTTGATTTTACTGTTCTGTTTATTTCCATACTCTCTGTCTCAGTATTAGTGTAACTGTAGAAATTTAAATCTGTGGGAATGTCTGCTGTAAATATAATGATGTATAAGAAATCTGGTATAGAAAAAGCATTTTCTTTTTCTTTTTAAGGGATGTGCCCATGTCATCAGAGGAGCTGCAGTTTCTGGTTGAGAAAGTCCTGAGAATGTTCTCCAAACTGGATTTGCAGGAGATCCCGCCACTGGTTTACCAGCTGCTGCTTTTATCTGCTAAAGTGTGTGTGTTTCTTCTTGTCTTTTGGTGGGGGCGGGTAATGTTTTACACATACATGTACAGTAGCAGCCATTCATAATGGCCCTTCCCAGTCGCATGGCAGTCCACTTCCCTGCAACTCCCAGCGAAATCCCCTCCAACTTCCAGCCACTGGCCCTGCATATTTATTCACTCTGACTCCACCCTTTTACTGAATTACAGAGTCTGACCAGGAGATTAAGCTTCTTTCTTGATCTTAATGTCCACAAATCATGACAGAAAGCATATTTTAGCACAAAGATTGATGTTTAAAAAGGAATTATAGGGAACAAGTGAAGGCCATCAAGTAGGGGAATTTTGAATGGCTGCTACTGTACATGTTCCTCCTACTGCTAAGTCATTGTAATACTTTCTGTAATTTCCCATGTTTTGTTTTTTCAAGGGTTGTAAGAAACAGATTCTGGATGGAATCGTCAGATACTTTAGGGACCAGGATATTCGCCAGGAAGAGGAGCAGAAAAATGGAGAGTAAGAAACTTCCTGAATTCCTTCTTTGCTCTACTGCAAACTCCCTTATTAATTATACAATTTGAAATCCTTGTTCTTAGAAACCTGCATCTAGAAGTTCAGACTATCCCACAGGACCAGCTGAGGCATGTAGAGGGAACCGTAATTCTCCATATAGTTTTTGCCATAAGAATGGACCATGAACTCGGGAGGGAGTTCCTGAAAAGCTTTAAGGTTCTATGCAGCAGAGCTTCTCTCTCTTTTTTGGTGATTATTTTAAACATAACATTATAAAGTTATTTTGTTTTTCTACAGACGTCCTATGGGAACCTGTGTCCTTTCAGCGTCGCCCTGTTGCTCTCTTTTGCACGTATCCAGCGATACGAGGAGCAGGCAAGACAAGCTTCCTTGTTCCTTGTGTTTGCCTCTTTGAAATTAAAATCTGTTGCGTAATTGTTTTTTCATTTCCCCTATTGCTCGAAGGTTTTTGACCTTTTGAAAGGGGCTGTAATCAGGAGCTTTAAGGATGAGCAGCTGCAGCAAGGGTCAAAGTTTCTACAAGACGTCCTGCCAGGTCACTGCAGTGTAGCGAAGATGATACTAGATGCAGTGAAGAACAGGTAATGAAATGTCTCATAGTTCCCCTTTAATCAGATCTGCTTTTTAATAATAAAAAAACAAACAAAACAAATCAAGCAATCTTTAATGTTAAAATAAACGATTTTGTTTTCCCTTGTGTCCACCTTTGCCTTCAGTGTGTTTGGATGGGATCATGTCACTCAAGGATTGGTGCAGCTCGGGTTCGTTCTTATGGACACCTTTGGACCCAAACCTGGACCATTTGGCAAGTCCACAGAGGGACCCGTCAGCGCTGCCCGGACCCCCCAACAGCAGGCGTGCAAGTTGGGCGGACAGATGCTCCTACAGGGCTTCAAAGTACGATAAAGTTTTCCCCCTATGCAGTCAGCCGTGTCATGCGGAAGAATCATAAAATCATTTTGCATTTGTTCACAGCTGCAAACACAATATAATTTCTTGGGATTTTATGGGCTTCATCTTTTACACCCTCTAAAAGGTGTTTCCTTCAGAATTGCTCAGTATTTCCTTCCATCTACAGCAAAGATGGTCTTATAATCTACCTTATAACCTAACTAGTGCTTCTCTGTTGTTCTTTCATAAAATCCAAATGAAACACAGAATTTTTTTTTGTTAAAGCTCACCTAGTGTTAATACTTTTGCCTGCCTGTCTGGCTAAAATGTTTCTTTACCTTCTCACCGTGTACAGATACACGAGCCAATTAGAGGCGAGATACTGGAGCAGGTCCTGAACCGTCTGGTCACAAAGACCGCCTCGCCTGTCACTCATTACTTGGGTAATAAAGGTTTCAGTAGTTTACAGATAAAGTGGCTCCTATCAGTTATGTTGCAGGAACTGATGCTGATGGGAATGTTTTGTCTCCTCAGACCTTTTCTCTGACCTTGTGACCTCCGCTCCAATGATTCTCCTAGAGTCGTCCTCCAAGGTTACAGAGACGTTTGACCACTTGACCTACTTGCCTCTGGCCACCGTTCAAGGCCTGTTGAAAGCTGTCCAGGTATCTAAACAGACCGATTCATCTTTTTTTTTTTTTTTTTTTTTTACATTCAGAGGTTTCTGAAGTGAAACTTTTATTTCTGTTTTCCATCTTCAGCCGCTGCTTAAAGTCAGCATGTCTCTGAAAGATTCTCTGATCTTGGTGCTTCGTAAGGCCATGTTTTCCAGGTATGAGCTGCTTTGCTCCTAATCAGACCACTCCAACACGTGAATGAGTTTCCTTCTTAACCTTTTATATTGCTCTCCATCAGTCAGCTGGATGGCAGGAAGTCAGCAGTGACTGGATTTTTGCTGTTGCTGAAAAACTTTAAGGTTTTGGGTAGCTTGTCTTCAAGTCAGTGTAGCCAAGCTATCTCCTCCAGCCAGGTACTGTCCCAACATCTCTAATTACAGACACAGATCACTTCTTTGTGATCTGTTAATAGTTTCTTTTCACTACTGATTAGGTCCAAGTGGATGTTCACTCTCGCTACAACTCTGCTGCCAATGAAGCCTTCTGCTTGGAGATTCTCAGCAGCCTGCGTCGCTGCCTTGGTCAGCAGGCTGATGTGAGGCTTATGCTCTATGAGGTAGGAAATATTTAAAACTAAGTTCTTTTTTTTCATTTTGCTTCTAAAAAGATTATTTTTTCTTAGTAATAATCCATCATCCCTTCTTTCACTAGCTGAGGCTGGGAAAGCTGCACAGAGCTTTAAACTTCTTTAAAGCTTGTTGAATGATTAAGAAAACAGTTTTTATTGTTTTTTTTTTTCAGGGTTTCTACGATGTCCTACGTCGCAACTCTCAACTTGCGAGCTCCATCATGCAGACTCTTCTTTCACAGGTACGTACTGGAGCCTCTTCCACAGAGCAAAGGAGTCAATACAGATCAGGGGTCTGTATTAATAGTGGGTAAAAATGATATAAAGAAACATGGTATAATAACAAATAGCAGTCTGCAAAGCTTCAGTAGTTTTTTATGAAGAATATTTGAATTGAATTTTCACAACAGAATGACAAAAAAAACCAAACAAAAAATGTGTTTTAGAGCTATTTTTCTTGACATTAGCTTGGAAATTATGTCTATGTTTTTTGTTTTTTTTTTATGTCAAATAATACCCAGCAGAAGAAAATCAATGCTTTATCTTAATTGTTTCATGATTTTCTTTATTTTAAAAGCTTAACATCCAATATAATGTTGGTTGTTTAAAATGCAGATTTGTAATGGCATGTATTTAACAAGAATAATAGGTTGTGTTTTATTCAAAGGTCATGTGATATTTTGCAGTTCTAAATGACTTTTATTTACCGGTAGATACAAAATTGCTCTGGATTTGAAAGTTGCAGACTCCTAGTTTAGATATTTCTTTTGCAGTTTGGGTCGGCAGGAACGTACCATCGCATCTGTGTCAGAGATCTCCCCTTGTTTATTATCATTATAATGTGTTTTAAAAACAATGATACCAGATGAAGCATTACGTCAGCTGTTGGGGGCTGTGACCAACCTGCTTTGTGAGTCAGCTCTAAAAGTGGCGGGTGGACTTCAACCCCCGTTAGATCTCTAAATTAAATTTGTGGAGATGTGAAAGAGGCACATTAATCCTGTTTTGAAGTATTTTATATTAGGGGTCTCATCTCCACATTCATTAACATTTATGTAACTGCATAAGAAGGCTAAAAATGGCTTTGGCAAGTTTAGCCTAGTAGCTGTTTCCTTCTCATTCTCCTGATTTGCAATTTTAAGCAACATGTTCTCGTCTTTCCCATTCCTAAAGGAGCTAAGGGAAATGGGCCTCTGTGTTGCTTTACTTTATTAACATAAAATAAGAAGAATTCATTAATGTTTTCCAGTAAGTTAACAATAAACATTACTTCCTCAGGTGAGGCGGTACTATGAACCGGAACAGGATCTGCTCCCCCCCATCAAACTGGAGCCATGCATCACCGCTCACGGCGACCAGATCTTCCTGCAGGAGCCACTGGTACTCTAGGCTTTGAGGTTTTTGTTGTCATGTCTTGCTTTTGTTGATAAGTGCTTTAAGATGTTTTTTTATTGTTTATATTAGGCACATTTAGTGAGCTGCACTGTTCACTGCCTGATGTGGCTGCAGAATGCACAGCGAGCTGCAAACCTTAACGCCGATGATAGCGACGAAGAGGAAGAGGAGGAGGGATACAGAGCCGAATTACAGGCGATGCTGGAGAGCATGACTAGACGCATGATCAAATGTGAACTGGAGGACTTTGAACTGGTAGAACATGGAGGACTGGGTTCTTTTTTTTTTTACTTGAGAATTTGAAGCATTGTTTAAAACTTTTTGGTCTTTTCAATCAGGACAAATCTGCAGAGTTTTCTTTGGGATCCAGCGTTGGAGTGAAGAATAACATCTACGCCGTGTTGGTGATGGGACTATATGAAGTCCTGATGGAGTATAACTTCATCAAAGCAAACTACAAGTAAAAATCCACTCTTTTCAGGGTTTTTGTTAGAAAAATTAAATCATCCAATTGTTCTTAGATAACTTTTCTATTCTGTGTCTTAAATACAATTCTATTATTGTAGGTTGAGAACAGTTCTTGTTTTGTTATTAGTAAGGATTTACTTTCAAAATAATAACTATAGTTGAATGAACAAGATCTTGGTTTCTTGAAATCAGTGAAACTTCTGTTTTACAGTTTTGTAGTTGAATTAAAAAGAAGTGCTAATGAGCTGTTGTCTCTGTCTGGCAGTAAGAGCCGCTTCGAGGAGCTTCTTGAGCTCTTCAACAAGCACCACAAGCTGTCCGAGATCTTGAAGGAGAAATCTGGAAAGGGTCGAGCACCGTCACACAAGACTCCACGCAGTTTACTCTCCATGGGCTTCGTCTCAACTCTCATCACCGTCCTCTTCAGGTCAGATCTCTTAACTGGAACACCTTCTGTGGGGTCACTGTGTTTCAAAAAGTGGTGATCAGAAACTTCTCTTTTTAAAGGTCCCTTACAAAGCCTTTTAATCTTTATTGCAGAATCATTGTCTCAGACTAAAATATGTAGAAACAAACAAAGTTTTAAAGGTCCTACATCTGGCTTTTTAAGCATATAATCACCTATAGGTAATGACATGATATAATACACTACATGGGTATTAATTTATGTAAGTTTCCAAGGACAGGGAGGAACTGCTGTCAGATAGCAGAACTGACAAGGATTACTCAGATATGAACCAAACAAGTGAAATACCACTTTGTGCATGGATGTGATGAATGAATTGCATCATAACATAATTAATTTGCATGATATAGGCTCCATTAGTACATTATGTATTTTATGCATAAAATAAAACATTAACAGCTTATTAGCAACCCTTACATTCCTTAAATATATGTGCAAAAATGTTCTAAATATACACACTAATTCTTTACCAATGGCTATATGTTTGCCTCTAGAAAATGTTTTGTCATAAAAAAAGAGCGAACCTTAGCCAATCAAATACAATAAAGCATAAATGAACTAGTTAATGCAACATTAAGCCTAAAATAAAAATTATTACTCCGTTTATAACAGACATCAAAATGATTCTGTTCGGATTTATTCTGATATGAGCCGATTATCCCTTCTGCTGTTCAGGATCAGCCGCACCTAAAGCGCAATGCTGCTTTATGGTGCAAGTTTTGATGATCTTAAAATAAATATTTCCTCTATGATTCAAAATGGAAAGTTTTTCATTTGTTTTGGCTACTGTATAAAATGGAAATAATGATCAACTACAGAAGCAAATGAGGTTTACTTGACTTGACCCGAGGCAAACGTGTCTGGATGAGGATCAAACCTTCCCTTCTGCTATTGTATGAGGGATAGTAATGTATGGAAGGTAAAGCAGGAGATTTTTATTAAAGGCTTTTTTTCAGACATTTTAACCGAGTTTAAATAATATTGTGGGAGACTGTAGTCACTACAGCAGTGGATGTATTTTATACCAAATGACATGATCTTTGCCATAAAAGCGACTTTATCGTAAATATTTTTTTTTTTAACGAACTTTCCCTGAAATCTTGAACCTTTGAAATGTTTTTCTTCTCCAGAGATAACAGTCAAAGCAGAGAGGAGGCTCTGTCTGTGCTCCGATCAAGCGGGGAGTTTGTGCGTTACGCTCTGTGTGTCGCGGTTCAGAAGATCCAACAGCTGGAGGAAAGCGGTCACACGGACGGTCCAGATGGGCAGCATTCAGACAAGACCTTCCGCTTCCTCTGCGACATGACTAGGTCCGACATCACCGCATCTTATTAGTGCTTTAGACTTTGTAGGTTAGTTTGGAGTTAATGAGTGTGTGGGTGTTTGGCAGTGTGCTGATGTGGCGTTACACTAATATCCCCGGTGCGGTGGAGGAGGCAGGGAGGAAGGAGAAGCGCTGCAGCTTGTCCCAGCTTTGTCTGGAGGGTCTGCTGCGGATCTTCACCACCTGCCAGCAGCGTTACCCAGAGAGGATGGCCCAGCTGCTTTCTACCATGGGTTAGATATACATTGTGAAGATACTGAAAGTTCTTGCTAAAAAATAGGGGGCCAGACATTTATATTTGAATCTCATGCAGACATGGCAGAAGATGAAGCTGAGCAGGACGATGCTGCAGAGATGAACTACTTTTACATCAGACAGTTCCAGGTCTGAATCGTCCTCCTTTACTAAAGATCCACCTCAGATGCCATGTAGTTTTCCCAACATTTTCTCTGAATGTGTTTTTTTTTTTGCTCGTTAACAGAGGGCGCTGTTCACTCAGTTGAGTGGAGGAGAGGAGGAATTTAACAGCCGAGAAGCTCAGCTGCTGGTCAGCATTTTGACCGTGCTTTCCCGTCAGCTGAAGCCCTCCTCTAAACAGGCACGTCCCCCTGATGCATGGAAACCGTCAGTCAGAGACGCAACTGTTTTATCTGACTGGTTTTCTTTCAATTTACAGTTTACTCAGATGATCACCTGGACAGTAAAGATGTGCAAGGAAACTAGTTTTGGTTGGTGCAGTTTTCTATCTGTCAGCTTACTAAGGGCACAGAAACAAACCTGGAATTGAACTCCTTGTGTTTTTGTCTTTGCTGTTCTAGAGGACTCTGCATTCTGTAAGGGGCTCCTGTCCCTTCTCTTCAGCCTGCAGGTCCTCTACAAGAGTCAAACGGGCCTTTTGCTGGAGCTTTGTCAAGACATTCACAGCCAGTTGGGAGATATTGATCAGGTGGTTAAAATTTCACTGTTAGAAGATTTAAGGTACATTTGCTTTGGCTTTATAAGTCAAAAATGAATTCGTTTTCAGTGCAGAACTGGGTGATGCTTATAGCCTTTTATTATACGGCGTTAAAATGGTTTACTTTCCTATCTGTGTAGTCTCCTTATGGGATGCAAACACTTTAAAACATCTTTTTTTTTGTTTAAATCTTTTTCTTTTTTATGAGAGATGGGATGCAGCCCTACAACTTTTACATGTTTCTTGTTAATTAATTCAAAATAATCAGTTATAGAAACACTATATATCTGGTTTTTAAAATTAACCAATCATTTAACATTATTTTTGCAGAATCAGTCACTTTGTTTTGTTCAAATTTAGACATCGTGGAAAAACAGATTCTTTAATATTTTTCCCATATGCCTTCTGGTCAAAGTCACAAAAACCTTTATTTATTTATATATATATATATATATATATATACTCACCGGCCACTTTATTAGGTACCCCATGCTAGTAACGGGTTGGACCCCCTTTTGCCTTCAGAACTGCCTCAATTCTTTGTGGCATAGATTCAACAAGGTGCTGGAAGCATTCCTCAGGGAGTTTGGTCCATATTGACGTAATGGCATCACACAGTTGCCGCAGATTTGTCGGCTGCACATCCATGATGCGAATCTCCCGTTCCACCACATCCCAAAGATGCTCTATTGGATTGAGATCTGGTGACTGTGGAGGCCATTTGAGTACAGTGAACTCATTGTCATGTTCAAGAAACCAGTCTGAGATGATTCCAGCTTTATGACATGGCGCATTATCCTGCTGAAAGTAGCCATCAGAAGTTGGGTACATTGTGGTCATAAAGGGATGGACATGGTCAGCAACAATACTCAGGTAGGCTGTGGCATTGCAACGATGCTCAATTGGTACCAAGGAGCCCAAAGAGTGCCAAGAAAATATTCCCCACACCATGACACCACCACCACCAGCCTGAACCGTTGATACAAGGCAGGATGGATCCATGCTTTCATGTTGTATACGCCAAATTCTGACCCTACCATCCGAATGTCACAGCAGAAATCGAGACTCATCAGACCAGGCAACGTTTTTCCAATCTTCGATTGTCCAATTTCGATGAGCTTGTGCAAATTGTAGCCTCAGTTTCCTGTTCTTAGCTGAAAGGAGTGGCACCCGGTGTGGTCTTCTGCTGCTGTAGCCCATCTGCCTCAAAGTTCGACGTACTGTGCGTTCAGAGATGCTCTTCTGCCCACCTTGGTTGTAACGGGTGGTTATTTGAGTCACTGTTGCCCTTCTATCAGCTCGAACCAGTCTGGCCATTCTCCTCTGACCTCTGGCATCAACAAGGCATATCCGCCCACAGAACTGCCGCTCACTGGATGTTTTTTCTTTTTCGGACCATTCTCTTTAAACCCTAGAGATGGTTGTGCGTGAAAATCCCAGTAGATCAGCAGTTTCTGAAATACTCAGACCAGCCCTTCTGGCACCAACAATCATGCCACGTTCAAAGTCACTCAAATCACCTTTCTTCCCCATACTGATGCTCGGTTTGAACTGCAGGAGACTGTCTTGACCATGTCTACATGCCTAAATGCACTGAGTTGCCACCATGTGATTGGCTGCTTAGAAATTAAGTGTTAACGAGCAGTTGGACAGGTGTACCTAATAAAGTGGCCGGTGAGTGTGTGTGTGTATATATATATATATATATATATATATATATATATATATATATATATATATATATATATATATATATATATATATATATATATTTATATTAGGGCTGAAACAATCAGATTAATTGTGATTAATCGATTATTGTAATAATTGTCAACTAATTTAGTCATTAAATTAATCATTAATGGATTTTAGAGACATTTTAGGATAAAAAAAAAATACTTTTTCATCTGTCAATCTGCTCTATCCAGAACTCCTCAAGTGGAAAAGTTTTAGTTTCACCTGGTTTAACTTTGTTAAAAGGCTTCTTTAAGTAACCTTTTGCTATCCGATTATTAATCGATTAATCAGAAAAATTATGAACAGATTTGTCGATTTGCAAAATAGTTGTTAGTTGCAGCCCTATATATATATATATATATATATATATATATAAAATCAGAGTGTATAAATTTGTAATTTAATCCACAACTTCTTGTGTGGGGAATAAATATGATGGGACAAAAAGAAACATTTCCCTTTAGCTGCTGAGCCAAGGAACCAAGTTTAACTTGCCTCCATCCATAAGATGTTAATGGAGGTTTAGAGAATCTCCACAGCTCACTGCTGAAGAAGCAGGCACTACTAAAAACCATTAGCTCTCTCCCAGGAAAGCCTTTTTAAATACCTTAGTTAGAGGTTTACTTCAGTCTTATGGGATTTTAACAGGAACCTTATTTTTTTTTCCAATGAGAGAAATGTTTCCTTCCCACACAGAATGCGAAATTTCTGTTCAAGCAGCTTCTTCACATTCAAGAGAAAACAGTTTTCTTGTTTTCCAAGAAATATGGAACATAATTTTTCCTGCTGTTGAAGGAACTTATTTTTCTCAGCTACTAATGGTCAACTGAAATTTTTAGAGATCTTGAATGTAAAGAAACTGCTTGAACCGAAAGCTATCCTCCTGTCTGGAATCCAAATTCAAATATTGGGATATTCACACACGGAAAAAAAAAAGAAAAGAAACCAGAACTGCTGGTCTCTCCACCCATAAACTGAGAATGAGTCATTGGGTCTTGCTGTAGGATATTTTCCCAAGATCAATGTCCTAATTGACACAAAAGACAGAGCCAGTCTTTTTGTAGACCCAGACCTGAATCCCACTCTAGCCTCATGAGGTGAGCTCAAAAGAAGCGCTCCTCCAGAGATCTAGGTGACTTACAGAGAGCATGACAAGACAAATAGTCAAAGATATTTATTTTCTCTCTGTGCTACAACCTAATGACATGCAGCAGGCGAGTAGGTGCATAACTTAACAGCTACAGCGGATGATCCGGTAACTCAGGCAAAGGGTTTGACGTTTATTTTATTTTTAGCAAAATGTTCTGAGTAAATTCAAATGATAATTTTCTTTGAATATGCTGCATGTTTTCAATAGGGAAATGTGCCACAGAGTTAAGGGCTGTATGTTCCAAGCTGATCCAACCATCCTGAGTATCTGTTATATATGACTATTTATCTCTCTAATCAGGATGTGGAGGTGGAAAAACAGTCTCATTTTAGCATCATCAACATGAAAACAGCAATGACTGCAGCAGTAAGTGTGGTTTTTGCTACTGAAAACGTTTGGATTTGTTGTCTCTGTTTTAACCTTTAACTCTCGCCCCAGCTGCTGGTCCTGTCTCAAGTTGACCGGGTTCTTGATGAAGTAGACTGGCTTATCGCCAGAAAGAAAACTCAAACAGCCTCTGATAAACCTGCCTCTGGTAGGATCTGTAGTTATTTATTTTCTCAAAGATGCTTAGTTGTATGATGTATCAAAGCTGCATAGTTTGAACAGTCGTGGATCTTCTCCGCTTGTAGCCGAGGCCTCCCAGGCTGCAGCTCAGCAGGATCCAGTTGAGAAGGCAGTGACTCTGCAGCTGGGGACCCTCCTGACCGCATTAAATGAGCTGGTCCAGACGGCTCTGCTACCTGGAAACTGCACCATAACACTGCTGAGAGAGCTGAGCCGTACTTACACCATCCTCACCACCCTGGTTAAATATGTGCGTATCATCTGACCCTTACAGCAATCCTTTGTGCTCAAACTTTACTCACATCTTCTCTTAAAATCCACATTGTAGTATATCCAGATATGTGTCAGCCAGCACGGATATTTGCCAAATAGATTTGAAAAATTGGTAGGTTTGAACTATCATTTGAAATTCCTCTATTCTTTCCTTGTATCACACTAATTTGATGCTTTTTCTATGCAGGTTAAACTCTCCGGTTCCCACCTGACGCCTCAATGCTACTCCTTTATAACATATGCCCAGGTACCATCCCCATCAGATCGATGTCATAAAAACTAGCTGGGGAGCATGATGTTTATTTGTTTTTCTTTGATTAGAGTGGAGAGTCCAGCTTCGGGGATGACAAGAAAAAAAAGAAGAGGAACGAGGTGAACACCGCTGCTTCGGTGAGGACTTAAACCACATTCCTGTTATAACTCTAAATGCCACTTTTATGATGTTTGGTTAATTCATGAAGTTACATTTCTAAATATAATTTAACTGAACTGTTAGAGGGTCACTAAAAGCCCCAAATGTTCCACATTGAACCCTGTCGTTTTCTTGGCAGGCAAAGCTGCTGCGTGAAACAAAGGCCATCCCCAACCTTATCTTCAGCATTGAGCAGTATGAGAAATACCTCATCACACTCTCCAAGAAATCAAAGGTTTTTGTAAACAATTTTATAGAAACAAATTACATATTTAACAAAAATAAGTGTTGTTCAGACAGAGCTTGTTCAGTGTTTAACGATTGGGGTCCATTCTTCCAGGTCAATCTGATGCAGTACATGAAGCTGAGCACTTCAAGAGATTTCCGCATCAACGCTGCTACCTTGGATGCAGCTCTGCAGGAGCAGGAGGAACCAGAGGAGGTCAGCAGAAAGCTTTCTTCCTTACCTCCAGTCTCTAACAAGTTTACTCCTAATGTTACAAAAATAGAAAAGTATGATTTTTTGTTTTCCAGATTCTGCTCCATTAAAGGTACACTATGCAACCGGTGTTGATTTTCTAGCGAGGCTCCCCCCAGAGGGCGAAAGTAAAAGTGCACTGTCGTAAATATGCACAGCTGTTCTCCTGGTTTCTCCGTCAAGCCAGGCGCGGTTGTTTTGAGCTTAGCAGACAGGCGAACGCAACGAATGACTAATGCTGCGTTCACACCGGACACAGCTGGCGCGACAGAAGCAGCGAGTTTACATGCAAAGTCAATGGTTGACGTGCGTCAAGGCGCAGCAAAAGGTCCCGCGGCGCGTTTTGAGCAGTAGGCGCAGCGCGTCTGAGCAGCTGAAGCAGCGTGTCGGGCGTGTTTAAGCATCTGACCGCGAACGCGCTGCTGCTCGAGATGGAAAAATTGAATTTTTGCTGCTCGACGCGCTGCGTCAACCAATCAGAGAAGCTGATCTGGGAGCTGGCAGGGAGAAAGACACAGCGCTGATGATCAGAGCGCTATGATCACTCCTCTTAAACAGTTTATTGACGCCTAAATTAACTTAAAATGCAGAAATCTGCCGGCAGAATATGTTGGCTTTTATTATCCTGCTGCCTGCAGTTTGGATTATTTAGATGAAAAACACCTACCAGCTGCCGCTGTGAACCGCGAGGAGGCGACCCGGCCAGAGGCTGCTGATGAAGGGATTCCTAATGTCGGCGCACCGCTGGTATGTGGGGGTCTGAGCGGCTCCGACAGAAAAAATATTGGAAGGCAGGATGATAATCTGAATGAACTGACTGCACTGATTACGTTTTCAGGTGTATTTTCTCACTTAAAAACATATTAAAACTACTTTATTCCCACTGATCACAGCAATTATAGCTGCAAGGCAGAGAAAGGATAGTGAAGCTCCGCCCAACGTGCGTCAAACACTTTTGCACCGCGCAGCCAGAGCAGCAAAGCTGCTCCAGCCGCACGTCAGAACTAACTGGTACAAGCAGCAAAAATGAAGCAGCAGACGCGATTTTGCTGCTTTTGCTGCGTCCGGTGTGAACGCATAACTGCACAAAGCCACTGTGCTAGCAACGAGCATGCTTTTAACTGGGGGCGTGTAGCAGTTCTCGCCGTAAAGCAAGACCGACTCTCGCGAGACTTCTGAGCCTGTGGGTGCGGGTCGGTGCTCCTGCAATTGCAAGTGCGGTATTTCCACCACAGACCACCAGGGCAGCCGAGAATACCTTTGTTCAACCTGAAATGACTCATTTAATCATCCAAAACGTTATGGAACACATTAATTAACTGAAAAATGTTGCATAGTGTGCCTTTAATGTCTCTTCTCTCTTATTTCAGACTCAGGAGTCACAGGAAACAGAGGAGGCACAGGAGCCCAAACAGAAGAAGAGAAAACAGTGATCTGGAAGGATTTCTCCTCTCTGCATCATTAAACCCAACCTGTTGATGTGTAAGAGGAGCAGCCCCAGAAGCTGCTACCTCCCTTTGCTCAGAGAGCCTTTGGTGATGCTGATGATCTGGTAGATGTCCAGGGCCTCGCCTGTGGGAAATTTTGCACACTTTATTTAATAAGCAATTACAGTTATGTCACTTTGTTATAAGACCATTCTTAAAATATTAACAAATCAGTTTAAACGGTATTAAAATTGGAATTAGTTTTTCCTTATTCTCCATTGTTGAAAAATGTGTAAATAGTTTAGCTTGTTCTTTTCGATCCCCTTATAAACATTCTCCTTTTATTTGAGTAAAAAAAAAAAAAAAAAAACAGTAAATGTGCTGTATAGCAAGATGATTTATACACACTAATGGGTGCAAACACAATGTTTTCTTTTATTATTGCATGTTTGATTATTAACTTTCTTGCTAGTTAAGTTACAAAGAAGAAAAATCTTATTTTTAAGCTATTTAAAACAATAAGACTAATGGAGAAATCCGACAGCTGAATAACATCAACTAGTGCTGTGAATATTTTTATATTCTTGGCTAAATAAATTGTTCTCTAAAAAATCTTAAGACTTCCTCCTGTCTTCTCTCTGTATTAAAGCGCTCAACTAACAAATCCTGGTATTTAAACCAAAATAGCTCACAAAGCTGTTCAGAACTCACCAGGTGGAATACCGTATCTCCTTTCCAAACCGGTTGGGTTAGAAGGAGTCACACAATCCATTGTAACCTCCTTCCTCAGACACCGATCGATGTCCACTGCACTGAAGAACGCTACAGACTGGGGAAGGTCCTGCATGCCCAAAGCATGGGCAAACATGCACCTGCCATGAAAAGCATCAGCAAATGTTTATTTTCACAGTCCTACAATGGAGATATCGGTAAATAGGGGGGTCTTATTTATAAAGTTTGTGTCAGACCAAACAGGACCTGACACATGCAAACACCGACTTCCACGCACGCAGAGGTGATTTATGGTGGTAAAAAAAAGTGGGAAATTTGGGAGACAAATGTTGACTGAGAACTGAAGCCAGCTTGCGTCATAATTTTTCACTTAGATGTTTAAGTTCACTACGTATCAAACTTAAATCGTAGATCGTCTAACTAATCAGCGAATACAGGGTGTTTGCTGAGTGCATGCTGGCACTGCTAATGTGACCAATTGCAAACAAAAGCCAGCTTAAATTCGACCTCCAAATCCACAAACGTTTCCTCATCATCGCTTCCTCTCTCCAATGATCATCAGGGCGAGTCGTACCACAGGTCAAAGAATAAATGTCGAGGTGTGAGGATTTCACACAAATTGCTGTAAACATTTAAACCACCCTTGCGTAATGGATGATTAAACGATACTGGAGACTTTGGAAATGGAAAGATTAGGAGTGAACAGATTTTCAGGGATTAATGTTTCCTGAACCACAATAATGAGTCTGGATCAGCTGATCAGACTCCATAGAGCATTGCTGTCATATCTATGAGCTGAACTGGGTCCAGTCCTGGAGAGACCAACCAGTGCAAATCTGCCTGGTGACTTTATTAATCTGATCCCTCCACATCAGGCCATTTATTTACAGTGGCAACCAAATATATTTATCTGACTTTCCACTTCTCACCAACATCTTAGCGGAGCTGCACTTTTTTCTGCTCTCACCATTGGTAATCATTAAATAACATAGATCAGCTGGTTAATTTAAATACACAATGAAATTCATGCAGTTTTTGGAACATTTATGGTTGAATGAGGCCGTGTAAGGGCCAAACATGAAGTGCAGCTTTGGACGCAAACTTTGAGGCACAGCTGTGATCTATAAAGAAAAAATTTCTTCATTTGGTGCATGCACATAGTTTTATAACTTGACCTTTTTTTTTGCCGTACCACATTTTTTTTTTTTTTTGCATGAGCACGCTTTTATAAATGAGACCCCTGAACTGTTCTGCACAAATACCTTGTAAGGAGGTTTGTGATTTGGAGTGCCAGCGCTGCTCTGTAACGGTCTTCGCTGCGAACAAGGTACCGCACTTCGTCGTGGATGCTGATGCAGAAACGGCCGTCGATGTTGTACTCTTCAAAGAGCCACTTCATAGCCACCAGCATTAGGTGCAGGTAGTCCACCGCCGAGCTCTGCACCGCCCAGTTCACTCTGCTAGTGATAAACTAGAAAAATGACATAACATGGGTCAACAAGATAGCAAGGCAAGTGTCCCATTAGTTAAAAATTAGGAATCCACTGAGAAATTAGCAGCTGACAAAAATCTGTTTAATGAGCGGACATTGTATCGTACATAGGCTGTATCTGCACTGCAAACACTTTTCAGTGTGGAAGTTGTGGGGGACACAAACAGAGTCAGTTTTCTGTAAGTTATCTGCAACATCCTGCTTCCCAGGAGTTGGAATGTGATGCGACATGGAGTCTTTTCTCCTACATATTCTTCAAAATGGAAAAATAAAAGCACATAAAGATAGATAATATCAGAATTATTGCTAAAGTGGCGATTACCAAAAGCGTGTGTAATATAATGCCTCTGATGCCCCAGCCAAGTTCAAAATGAACTAGATCTGCACGTCTCACCTCATCCTTTACTGCCTTGGGCTCCAGAGCTCTGCTGATCCTGCAGCCTAGAACAGGAGTGGCCGGCTGGGCTGAATGAGCGATACTCTCCAGCTTGTTGAACATGTCTGACTCCGTGCCTCCTGCCCAGACACGTTTGCCAACAACATCCCACCTCTTCCGCCGCGAACTGACATGGAATGAAAAATAAAAAGTAGACTGTAATCAAAGATGGAACAAATACAGCCTCTGAGATTTATAGTGTTTGATTTGCTCAGTTACCTTTGCGATGCAAGTCTACTGATCCTCCGCAGCTCCTCCAGCGAGATGCTTCCATTCTCCTCCCTTTGCACATCTATGCCCAGTTCATTGACGAGCCACTCGCCCTCCTCTGATAGATGGTATCTGACAAGAAAAATACATAAACTGAGACAGCCTCCAAACAACCACAAATAATTATTTAGTTGCTGATCTCACCTGCGTACCCCCTTGGTTAAAGCATACATCTGCCTGGCCTTGCTGGCGGCCTCTGTCTGATTGAGGCGGTGGTTGAACTGCATCAGCAGCCTCTCTGCAAACGGCTGCCCCGCCCCGTATATTCGCCCGTAGTTGAACACCTTAGCGTGTTCTCTGCTGATACCCACAGCGTCTGCCGTCCTGCTGTGCAGGTCCGTGCCTTGACTCTTCTTTCCCTGAAGGGTCATCCACCCAAACGCTGTGCAACCTAAACCGCAGATGTTTGGCAATATTAGATGAATAAAAGAAAGAAAAAAAAGCATTTTTCTGTAATGGAGCCCAATTTAATGGGGATTATTTTTACCATGCATCCCGGCAAACTGAGCTTCTCCAAGTACAGCAGCAATCCATAACTCCTGAGAGTCTACATCTGCCCCAACCAGGTGATATCCAGGTGGTACCTGAACCATGGCTTTTAGTTCGCTGCCTACCCGGTCCCTCTGAGGAAAAAAATTATTTATTCCAAGCTGTCTGGTAAAACAATGATTTCACACTCATTAATATGAGTCCAACTCAGGACTTTTAAAGAGTAATTTCAAAATGTATTTTCCTGTGTTGAATATTTAAACTGATAACATCTAGGGTGTGAAAGTACGACGATTGGGTGCTCAACTTTGACTTTACTATGTTGCAGATTTCTCCCAGATCTGTTTGGAGGGTCTGTATTCTTTTCTTTGCATGTTGCACAGAAATCAAGAAGGTTCTGGTATCATTTCTCCTGGGCAAAATCAAGACCAAGGGCCAAAACACATCCAATGTTCTTATGTCTGTTCAAGACTACATATGTATAACTTTCAACTTGTGTATTAGAGAAAATTCACAAAAGATTAACAAAAGAAGTTTATTAAACCAATTCAAGTCTCTAAGAAATAGAGAAATTCAGATGTTTAATAATAATCTAAGAAAATGAACAGAACAACTATGCCTTTGAATGTGTACTTAAACCCAGCTTCTTACCCGGGCATTACTTGCGGTCAGCCAGGTTGGCTCCACGGCCCGCCGGGTTACCGTCCCAGCTGTGATGACCTGAGGCAGTATGGCACCATACTGGCCCTCTTCATCGTAGTCCTCATGCCTGTAGAGGAATCGTAAAGTTAGACAAACAAAGAAACCTTTTTTTCTATTACAACATGCCGTACAAACCTGCTGACGTTGCGAGGAAGCTCTCCCTTTCTTAGCCACAGCACCATCTGAGAACTGAGATTAAAAAAAAAAAAAAAAATCCACATTCGTCCCTTTTAAAAAGTAATCAGCTGTGATCAGAACAGCCAGCAGAACCAGGTACCTTATCCGCTTGTGAGCATTCCTCCAGAAGGACATCGTCTTGTTGATCTCCAGCGCTCGTGTTGCATTGGTTCCGCTTCTTCCAGCGCTTAGTGTGCCATCCTCCATTTTAGCCAGGAAGTCCTTCGAGAAAGGACTGCCTACGTTGTTGTGGTTACCGTCCTGTGACTCACAAAAAGTCAGAGTGAGGAAAACCGACCCAACAGAACCATCGACGATACAGAAAAGAGAAAACCGTTGCTCACCTTGTGAGGTAACTTAAAAAACCAACATCCTGGAATATCTACATCTTCGTAGGGGCCGTTTCCATGGTGATAGTGGCAGTGACTCTCCTCGCTGACGAAACGGGGATCTTGGGACACCTGGTGAAGAATAAAAGATGTGCAAAACAATGAATGCCATAAAATCCTCACAATGAGAGAAACTTTCTTGATCTACACTGACCTTCTTCAACTTTTTCTCCTTTTTCACCGCTCCAGCTCCATTTTCTTCAGAGAGACGTTCTAAAGAACTTAACTCCTCCACCTTTAAGTGCAAAAGAAACAAATAAACATACAAAAAAATAAAAAATCTAAGTCTGAGCAAGTAGCAAGGATCGATTACTAATAAGACTCAAGCAATTACACCAAAGCTCCGTTATGAATACAATATTTCTATGCTGTTTTTCTGTATTTGTTAAGCTCAGCACCTTTGTCCAAACAGCGCTGTCGGTCCACACAAGCTCATCTGAAGGGTTCAGACACTCAGGTTGCTCCTTGCTGTTTTGCTCACAATATTCTTTGTATACCCTTTCAATTGCTCTGTGGAAATACAAACACAACAACACAATATTAGAGGATGAATTCTGTTGCAGATTATTTGACTTTTACCAAAAATTCAAAGTGAAACATCCAACCAGGAAGAATCACATTTAGGAAAAAGAAAATTCCTTAAAAATGAAAACTACAGTCATTGCTACTCTGCATACATATTCATAGACTATAAAGA